ACAACAATTATTGGCAAAACTGCTTGGGTACCATTACTCCATTACGGGGAAAATAATGCAACGTTTGACGCACTTTCACAACAACTTAATAGGGAAGACACTTTTCGCACACCCTCTCTTGTGGCCATCAGTGGCCCAAATTCTAACTATACTCAGATCATACAGAAGAAACTATAACATGACCCATACACTACAAAGATTATTAAGGGATTATAGTCATCCAATGAAAAATTAAGCAAGTGGAAAATAAAAAAAAAAGAGTTGCTATTTAATGGTCATTGTCTATTCATTCTATCTTCCTCAACACTAATCCATCAATTGCTGCATGAGTTCCATTACTCTGCAGTAGGTGGCCACATAGGTGTTAATAGGACTTTCCATCGTTTCTGTCAATTTTATGCATAGCCTTCAATGAAGGAAGATGTCTAAAAATATATAAAGCATTGTGAAATATGTCAAAGGTTTAAACCACCTAACTACTCACCTTAACATTGTTGCAATCATTGAACATTCCGGCAAAAATACGATTGAATCTTTCCATGGACTTCATTACTTGTTTGCCTCCTTTCAAGAGGACACACATCTATCTTAGTTGTGGTTGACAGACTCACGAAAAGAGTAAACTCCATTGCCTTCCCCAGCATATGGTATCTAATTTGTGTCATGTCAATTCGGAAGAGACATAAAAAAACCACCATCAGTAATTTATCAATAATATATGTATTTCATTTTGAATGATAGTAGTACCTATTAGTGGGTGCAACGAGAGCACTTAAAAGCTCTCATGGATTGGATGCCAATTTGTTTGAAACTGACTGACTTCATTTGATTGGAATAGAAGTTAGGACAATGACCAAAATCCTCCTGTTCAGACAAAAAAACAAAACATCTAAAAAATTATTCCCATTCTGCCATGCCTAAAGTATTATTATTAAATCAAGTGGTACACATTTTTCCATATGGTAGATGAATGTGAGTCTGGCTAGCTAAGTTAGCGACATCAAATCCAACCTTACTTGCCATGTGAAGTTGGACTCGTGTCCTTTATTAGTATCACAAAACGTATCCAGTTAGTTGAATAACAAGATGTGGTATTTCAAAAATAATTTAAGAACAGTGGCTCGTTGATAATTTTTTACCCCAAATTGTGTGAAATTAATTGTTGTCCCATGAATTTTCTTCCCGAAAATCTATTCAAATCGAACCTTAGACATTAAGTTTATAACTTCTTTCACTTATATATTTATAATTTTATACATTCATTCATTCCTAATGGGATTTTGGGTTTGTTTGATTGTGTTTTTTTTTTATTTCGAAAAATATTTTGTAGAATAATTAATGAAATATGTGTTTTCTGTGTTTTTTTTTAAAGTTAAAAGTCAAAATATAAAACAAAAATAATTTAGATATATTCTCTAAATTTGATTCTAAAAACTAAAAAATAATTGTAATTTTTAGAATTATTTTTACATATTTACTAAACATATTTTTTTCTGAAAAATTAAAAAAGTATTTTTAGAAACTAAAATAAAAAAACCCTTTATCAATTAGATTTAAATTCCTAACCTGTTTATCAAAAAAATAAATAAAATCCTAACCTAGAAAACACCAACACACAATTTTTTTTGAAAAATGTCCGACACGCTCTGACATGTTCCGACACGCGGTCAACATTTTGGGACACGTGATCAATGTCCCAATACGTTCCGACACACGATCAATTTTTTCGATACGCGATCAACGCTTCGACACGCATCTAATACTTTTTTTAGATATAAATTTTATTTATTTTATTTTATTAATTAAACATGAAAAATAATTTATAAATCCTTTTTTTCTGATATGGAATTGGACATGAACAATTAATTGGGTACAAAAAATATTTTTATTTTATATTTGTATTATAAAATTTAAATATTTGATTGATTATATAAATTGTTATATGTATTAAATATAAATTATATTATATATATTAAAAATATTATTTAATATCAAAATATATTCTACCATATTAAAATATGATATTTGTTAGAATTAATATAACGACATATTAGATCATATCATATTCTGTGTCCTATATCAATGTGGGTACAAGATAGTTGCTAACCATTCACTCCTCCGAAATACCAAATTTTTTTTTTTTGGAAAACTAAATACCTATAATATTGTTACCCTACACGAGATCCAGATTTAAATTGAGACACTAATTATCCACACATGACGCAAATGAAGTTAGGTGGAACAGAAGACAAGTGGAAACGTGATTTGTAATTTTGTACCATCTATTGTACTGACGCGCACTGTAAGCAAATATATAATTTTTGAAAAAAATATTTCTCCCGTAAGAGATAAAATTATCTTCAGTGAATTCAAAATAATTTCATTTTGAGTTATAAGATTAAAAAATTATAATAGTAAAGACTTATATAACCCTGTAATATATTATAATTATAAAAATATCTTGATTTTCGCCTAAAATAATATCATTTTAAACTCACCGAAAATAACTTTATATCTGATAACTGAAGAAATTCTTTACCTGTAATTTATTACTGCTGTCAATTTTTGAGGTTCGGGTTGGGACCCACCATGTGATGATAATAAGATATAAACAATGAAAAAAAAATTCTATTATTTATTTATTTTTTATATTTATTTTATCAATCATTTTATTCTACAAAATCTATTATTAGATTAGAATTTTTTTTTTTAAGATTATGATATAACGTGTTGGAGATTAATAAGTAATATAGATATAAAAAAAAATAGATAAAATAATCTATTCCATAACAGTATAAGAAAGACAAACCACTTGTTTGTTGAAATTCTACTGTTATTATTGTTTGGTTCAAGAAAATTATTCCTTATTTTTTTATAATTATTTCCTAACTAACATATAGCAACTTATAATTTAAAAAATGAAGATTAGGACATTACAATAACATTAGCCATTTAGCCGCTTGGCCTTGCCAATCATTCCAACATAAGGATATTATAAATATAACATTTAAATCCCTTAGAAGTTATAAGGGATTTAATTAATTTATATGAAGTTATAGATTCGAATGTTATTATTATATTAAAAAACTCCATATTTAAATTTGAATTTAAAAGAAAAACAAAAGAGAGACAATTTAAAATTCCCACCAACAGAGCATCCATTTACATACAAAATGAAGATATTAGGCGAATTTCATGATTTGGGAATTGGGATCCAAGCATATTCCCAAAAGAAAGCATAAAGGTAAATCAAACGTTTCAAAATAGATCTACGAGAGAGAGAGAGTGGGACCCCCTTGATGTCGAACTGTCCAGCCGTATTCGCTCAGCAGCCACCACTGTCATAAAATTGAAAAAAAAAATGTTTATCTTTTTAAATGACACAATTTATATCTTTTCACTCTTATATAGAATTGAAATTTACACTTTTATTTTTTCTTGTCAACTCTCTCTCATTCTTTATCTATTTCTTTCTCTCTCTTAAAACGACACAATTTTACATCTTTTAAAATGATACACATTTTTCTCTAAAATTAATACATTTTAATTTTGGGTTTTATAATTCTCATTCTACATGGGAATTGAAATATTCCTACATATTCTTCGATTTTCGTACTGACATAGGTTCTACACATAACTTTTTCTAACATATAGGTCTCATATATTTTTTATCTCTATAACAAAAGATTTCAATTCTCATGTAACTTGAAAATTATAAAATCCTTTAATTTTACCAACAAAATGGTAAATATTTATACAAAAAAAAAAAACAAAATGGCAAAAAAATACTAAAAGAAAATGTTTTGCCTTTTTGAAAAGTGCTTGATACCTCCGATTCCAAGCTTATGTGAAAAGAGGAACGTTTGCCCATTTTTACTAAAAATTTACTAACTAGAAATATTAATAATGATTTTCATAGTTATTTAGGAAAACTTTCTTTTAATTTATATTTGTTTATATTTTATTTAAATTTTAAATACCGGTACAATTGACTGAATACAATAATAATATCAAAATTAAAAAGGAAAAACTTTATAAATACCCATAACGTTTTTTTTGAATAAAATAATCCATAATTTTTTTTAATAAATAATATCCTTAACATTTAAAACACTCACAACCCTTTGTAACTTTAAATAATACCAATAAATTTTATGACATTGTAACTATTTTACTATTCAGTTAATTTTATCACAAGAGTTTAAATTCAACTAGAACTTCCACTCCATCTAAAAAAATAAAAATAAAAAAATTTATATCAAAATAACAAAGTAGGATAAGCAAAATTTTAACATTCAAAGCAACATATTTAGCAAGAAATGAAACCCCAAAAGAGATTGATAATAGAATGAAAAACATAGAGGAAAAAAAATATAGACATGCCTAGTGATAAAAAAAAAAACATTGAAATATAGACCAAGAAACGAAGCCAAAAAAAAAAAAAAAATCCTAATTTAACAATGAATATCAATAAGGTGGCTGTAGCATGATAATCTTCTTCACTCTTCATGTGTGAACGAAATTTTTAGATGGAAGTCAAACTATACTGCTTCATGTTTTTAGATAATTAAATTTAAAGGCTAAAAATAATCATAATATAACAAAATAATCATAATATTTGAAATTAGCGGGAAGATACATACAAGTACTTTTAATTCTAAAAAGTTATTAGAAACATTTATAAAAAAATTGAATAAAAAATTATCTTTATTCCAAACTAATTGATATAAAAGAAAAGTTCACCGATGGTGTCTGGTGATTTGTTTAAAAATTATTTATGTTTCTGTGATTTTTTTGTATTACATATGTCTCTATATTTTAAAAAAAATAAAAAATTACAACGACATATATGATAAAAAACATATTCTTTTACAAATCACGTTAGCATATATGATAGAAAAAAAAACAGCATAAGTGATTTTGAAAAAAAAAAATACGTGCTATTAAAACACACATATGGAGACATAAATATGGAAATGCTTAGTTGAATCTCTCTCTCTCTCTCTCTCTAAGTCACCCTTTATATGAGGTGGAAGTGGAATGAGTTGATTCATTGAATATTTGGTATCTGTCTCTAAAAGTCAATATTATAATATGCATCCTCCATTTTTATGAAGCTTCTGGTTTGCTGCAGTGTAAAAGTAACAACAGTAACACAGTGAGTGAAGGAAGGAAGGAAAGGCAAAAACTCCATACAGTGAGTGAGTGAGTGAAGCTAAAGCTACAAACAAAAATTCAATTCTGGGGTTAAATGGGGGTTGTTTCACAGGATGCCCTCAACCATCTCAAAGCTCTCATGGATCAAGGTCTTCCCTTTATCATTTTCTCTATCTCTTTCTCATCTTCCTTTTTATTTATTTTTTTCTGGCTTTCTCACTTTTTTTTTTCTTTCTTTCCAATGATGCTAGTTGAGGAGCCATTGCAGAGAACGTTTCAGGTGACCATTTTCATAACTCTTTCCTATCTGATCTTAACATTCCAAATTCTTCAACTATGAGTCTTTTTTTTTTTTTTCTTCCATTTTTTGCTACTTGGGAGTTTGCTTGTTTTCAAATCTGCTGATGCTGATCTCTGTTTTCTGTATGAGCTGTGTGTGGTTCTGATGTACATGTCGTGTTTTAATGGACTTTGTTTACTGTTATGGCCTTTGGAACCCTGAAATTCAAGTGATTGCTGTGTCTAAATGTTTCATTAATGTTGTTGACTAATTGGTTCTTCTACATGCCTACACTTGTGTTTGGTACATTTCACGCGTAGTGATGATTCAGCAAAAAAGAGAGGGTTGGTGGTGGTAAATGAGATCTCAATTAATGTTGCACTTCTATGTATATCTTCAACTCTCTTGGTTAACTTGTTTGAAGTAGACAGTCATTTCTTATGTTTTACACCGCATATTATTTATTTAAGTTTACTGACAAACATAATTGGTCATAAGTTCTTTCTGTTTATGGACACCTGCAAATTTAATCAATTGCTCGCAATTATCTAATTATTCGAATGGGGTTTGATGAATTCTGGGAATCTCTTAGTGTTTTCACTAGAAAAACACTCTTATCTCCCCCTTGGAATTTAATTGCTGTTATTTGCAGAATGTTCATCAAGGATATGTCACTGAAACCTTAATGCGGTTTCTAAAAGCAAGGGAATGGAATGCTTCCAAGGCCCATAAAATGGTAAGATATGTATAGTGGAAGTGTTGTTTTGTTGAATGCTTTGCAATATATTCTTCATTTTTGGAAATTGACCATCATATCTGATTTATTTGTAAATGGCTGTTTTACGTTTCAGTTAGTTGATTGTTTAAACTGGAGAGTAAAAAATGAGATTGACAACATATTATCCGTAAGTCTATATTCTGCTGATCCTTGTATATTATTTTTGAGACATTTCTTTTGGCAATTCATATTTTTTCAATTAGGTGCTTGTCTGAGATTGAGAGATTGTCCTTATTGTGGTCCTTTTTATTAGATTATATTGCATCCCCTATATATATTTATTGGCACAACCACTTGTTTATCTATTGTAAATTACAATGTGACTTCTTACTTGTTAAGCCTGGATGTTGTTTCATTTTCAGAAACCAATTTACTCTCCTGATTTATACAGAGCAGTGCGTGATTCACAACTCATAGGATTGTCAGGGTACTCAAGAGAGGTGCTCTTCTAACATAATCTTTTCTCAGTCCATTCTGTTGTAGTTGTGCTTGAAAGTATTTGCTTGTCAAAATATGCAAATTATGTGATGGGAACCCGGTATTTTATTATATAGAAATAGGGATCAACCGAAAGATCAAAATCACTCAAAAAAAGAAAAAGAAAGATAGAACACTGATGAACTTTGAGGGTTTGCAAACCTCCCAGCCTAAAGGCCCCAAAACTCACTCAATGGCTGGATGATCATCTCTCCTACCTTTCCCTCCCTTTTATCTTTACTTATAACCGTTTTCCCTTCCTTCCCACCATCCTTACCACGTAGGCAAGATTGTTATAACCCAAATTCCTTTTCTGCCCCCTTTGTTATAATTTTCACATGGTAGGATCTCATTCCTAAGAGGGATCCCTCTTTTTTTATTTCTTTTTATTTTGTTTTTAATTTTATGAAGGTAAAGGTTCCGATGAAGTACGAAAAAACCTCTTAAAAACAAAATAAAAAAAGAAAAGGAATTTTTAATTGCACTAGAAATAATTTTTTTTGAATTTAGTATGGATAAAATATTTAAAAGGGGGCAAACTGGAGCAGTGGTAAAATTGTTCGTTCATGACTGAAAGGTCATGGGTTTGAATCCTGGAAACAGTCTCTTTGCGGTTATGCAAGGGTAAGGCTGCGCACAGGGATTACCTCCACCCCACACTCACTAGTCGGGTTTAACGGGGAGTGGTTTTGGTATGGATAAAATATTTGATAGTGTAGGTATTGGTATTCGTGATATTGATCTAATTTATACCATTGAGTATACCAACGAAAGATTTATTATCTCTATTAAATCCCGAATTCTTTATTGAAAATAAAAGAGAGATTAAACATAGAGATTATGGAAGTAAACATTCTTGCATTTATTGCTACTCAACTGTTCATTCTAGTTCCTACTTCTGTTTACTTATAATTTACGTGAAAAAGGGTAAGTCCAAGTGAGTAATTTTACTTAAGTATGACCTTTTAATTCTTATCAATGCAATGATTGAACAAAAATAACTCCCCATGAAATCTCGACTTGTGAGGAATGAATGATTAGAAAAAGGAAAAGGATTTCAATGTTGGGCCTTAGTATTAAATGAAATTATCCGACCAGAATCACAGAATTCTATGAAATCCGGATAGTATAGTAGAATGAAATCAAATTGATTTCTTTCTATCATACTATCTATTTGTTACTGTAGTCTATAAATGTTTACTTTATAAAAATAGAGGCTTAATATGGAGCAATCTAGGTATTCTATACAGATAAATTGGGATAAACATATAGACCAATTGCAAAGATCAAATGACTCAAAAACATGAAAAAGAAAGATAGAACACTGCAGAACTTCGAGGGTCTTCAAACCTCCATGTCCATAGGCCCCAAAACTTACTCAATGGCTGGATGATCCTCTCCCATACATTTCCCTCCCTTTTATCTTTGCTTCTAACCATTTTCCCTTCCTTCCAACTTTCCTTGTCATGTAGGCAAGATTGTTTCATTCCAAATTCCTTTTCTGCCCGTTAGTCATAATTCCCACGTGGTATAGCATAGGATTGCCTAACATTATGTTGTATCTGCATGCACACTTTTATCGTCATTGATCAAAATTATATTACTTTCTTGTTATATTTCCTCTTTTTAATTTCAATGCTTTCTCTGCCATCCTTTCCAGGGTCTGCCTGTCTTTGCAGTTGGTGTTGGGCTTAGCACATTTGACAAAGCGTCTGTAAGTTTAATTTATTAGAAAAAGGAAAAGGAACAGTACTTTGTTTGGAGCACTATCTATTGCTTTTTCTTAAAGCCTTGAGTTCTTATATCTTCTAACATTATCTTGTGTTGTGTGTGCAGATCCATACTTATATGCAGTCTCACATTCAAATTAATGAATATCGTGATCGTGTAATCTTGGTGGGTATTAGTCTTTGGAGTGTACTAAGATCCTTTAATTGCTTGATTGACCTGTTAGTTTAGCTTCTGTCCTTTTGTTTATTTTGACCCACATATGCCTGTAGCCTTCTGCTTCAAAGAAGTATGGGCGGTCTATTACCACATGTGTAAAGGTTTTGGATATGACTGGTCTGAAGCTCTCAGCCCTGAATCAGATTAAGGTACCTTTTAGTTGATATAGCTACTAGGTCCAGCAAGGCTAGCATACCTGTGATTACTTGTGCAATGAATGTATTCATAATGCATTTTGATGTTTAGACAATATGTATGCTGCTTTACTTTTGATTTGTAAGTAGTATAGCCATTTGGAGTTGGTATAATGAATAAGTGTGTGTGTAGGATTCACTATTAACATATCATGATCAGTAAACTATATAGCATGTCTGAAAGTAGTAGACATACTCAAAATTACACCTCCCAGATTGAGTTTAGATCAAACTGTTACAGTTGCTACTTCACAAACAAATACATAAGTTGAAAACCTTTTTCAATTTTTTTCCTTTGTTTTGAACATTTCCTAAATCACTGAGTTGTCTTTCATGCTGATGCAGTTGTTAACAATAATATCATCCATTGATGATCTGAACTACCCTGAGAGGACAAATACTTACTACATTGTAAATGCCCCATACATATTTTCAGCTTGTTGGAAGGTAACAAGATATTATTCCTTATGACTTGGTTTCCTGTATGATATTTCGACTTAATATATTGGTTTAAGTTGTGTACCTATTGAAACCTCAGAATAATGTTAAACATTTGGCATTAGCAGGTAGTGAAGCCACTTTTACAAGAGAGGACAAGAAGAAAAGTGCAAGTCTTACCAGGTTGTGGGCGAGATGAGCTGTTGAAGGTAATGTAATTTTATTTTTATTTTCAATTCATTGACAAGGGCTACTGGAGTACATACTCCGAACAGCAGAAATCATATATGACAGATTTTTTGTTTTTCCACACGGCATGATATCAAGTTATCAACTATTTGGAGCTCCTAGTAATGTCATAGTAGCATAGAGAAGTGCAAAGACAGAGAGGACAAGTTTTCCTTTTAAATGTGACAAGAAAGAATAAAAATCAAACAGAAAAAAACATTAGAAAGCAAAAGCCAGGCAATACATGAAATTTTTTGTCATAGATATGCTGAGTTGGCAATTTTTTTCCCAGATAAGAGTGACATGCGCTTATCCTTGAAAATCTTTCTTGCATTTCTTTTAACCACATGCATGCACTGTGCATTGCCATGAAGCCTTGCCCTCATGCTTCAAAAGGCTTTGAAAATAGTTGTCTTCAAATGTTTCATTTTTCCAAAACAAATCAAACATTCACTTCAAACACCAAATATTCTACACTGCATAAATCTAGAACATCGTAAAAAAAATTGGTCACTTGTTTCAGAACTAGAGAAGTACATTACACAAATATAGGGAGAGTGCTTTATGAGCTTTTGTAGATCTGTAGCATTGAATTTCCTGTTCTCCATCCATTCAATGCTGGTTGGATGTATTCGTGCAAAAAAATAATAACATAAACAATTCAATAGAAAAGAAAATTATTAATCAATAACTGAAGCCCATTACAAGGGAGAAATGGGAATAACTTGGGCTTGAGGGCTTTGGTAATTTGTGGTGGATTTATAGAACTTTGGATGAGATAAACCCATATATATGCATTACACCTTTTCTTAGAGAAGTACGATTGATATTAGTATTAGCGGTCTTGTTTCAAATGTTGATATTCTTTCTAATTTATGTTTAAAACATCCGTAATGTTTTTGCCATCAGCTCTAGAAAAGGAAAATGAAGCTCTTCCCTAATTAGGTTTTTAGAAAGAAAAAAACTTCATCAACTCCACTTATGTGCAATTTGTTTTTCTCTGCCATATTTATGTTGGCATTTTTTTCTATAAAATGTAGCAATTGTACAGTTCATTCTTCTGGAAGTGCATGTATTGTTTCTGAAAATTTCTCCACTTTTTATTCAGTTCCTATTAATAAACAAGAGGAGTAGTTCCCTTTCTTATTGTAAAGAAAAAAATGATGGGTGAATATATGGTAATCTGTTGTCTGCTTTTATTGAATTTAACAAATAAACTTTGGCTTGTAGATCATGGATTATGCATCTCTGCCACATTTCTGTAGAAAAGAAGGCTCTGGATCATCCAAACATTTAGTGAGTGGAAGTGAAAATTGCTATTCCTTGGATCATCCCTTCCATCAAGAACTCTACAATTACATTAAGGAGAAATCCAGAGTCCTTGAAGCTGTTGAACCCATCAAGCAGGGATCTTTCCATGTAGATTTTCCTGAACCTCGTGCTGATGAAGCAGACATTGCCAAGACTATTGAGTCAGAGCTACACAAGTTAGAGATCAGCAATGGGAATGATGATTAAAGATGTCTTGGCCTTATGGTCTTTGCAAGTCCTCTTAACCATGTGAACCAAACTAGTGTAGTACATTCATCTCCGAACTACTGTCAGGATTCAGCAGAATTAGTTAGCGTTGTTTATGTATTAAGCTTGATAAATTTAGAGAGTAGTCAGAATAAAGCAGATCCCAGCTTTGCATTGTCAAAAATGCAAGGGAGAAATGTCAAATATAATATTTTATGTGGGTTTCTTCTATGTTTAATCTATTGCATTTTTATCTTCATACTGTGACTTATCAATTCAAATATAAAATAGTCTATGTTCGAAGTATTTTGACTTGGAAATAAGGAGTCCAAATACCGCTCAATTTGGGATTAGTTCTATATTGTGTGGTCTTTTTTTCCACTCAAGTTGTGGGGATAACTGGGGGAAATTGATTCACCTCAAAAGACTGATTAGGGTTATAGAGGGAAAAAAAAAGAAAAAACTAATTTAAGTATTTCAATGGCTAAGAGACAAGCACATAATTCCAATCATGTTTAGGAGAAGTAGCCCATAAATAGGCATGCCGTACATGGGATAGGCTGCTCACGCCACTTCACTCCACCAATAAGATTAAGTGTCGTCATACTAGGGTGATATAAGCAGGTCTCACAAGTACTATATAATGAAGTCTAGAAGTGCACATATGATCATCTTATCCATCTTAATTTAAGCTCATTAATCACTTCAGCATTGGAGTGTTTTGTAGGTACTTCCTCCCATTTGTCTCAGCTAAACAAAGTTATCTTGTACTAGCACAACCATCTCGCAACAGTATCCCGCAACAGGTAACAACATCCATCCTAGAGCAAATCCATTCAGATTACTATAGAATTAGGCTCAATTCAATTGTGTGTAATCCGGACCAAGTTCTCTTGGATTGATTAATTAGATTAGTAAACACTAGTATTAGAGATTGGTTGAGTAAAGAATGAGAGATCAATTTCATCTTCACTCATAGGGAGAACAATGAATGTTTACATTCTAGGAAGTTTGAGTAGATTTTTTTTTTAGGCCCCCGTTATTAAAAAGAAAAGAAAACAAAATAAAAGTTTTCATGAAATTGAACATTAATTTAACAATTATTTTATGATTTTTTAAAGTGTCTTAAAATTGATGTATAACTTATTTTTAAATAAATGAAAATATTTATTCAATCACAAACTTTTTATAGTATGATTTTATAATGTACCCACGCAAATGGGAATCATATATACACAAATTTTATTGCACAACCATTATATACGTGGTAACTTACATCATACATGTATAATAAGCAATAAGCAGAAGCTTACAAATACACATGCTTTATTTCCTGTACTTCAAGCATCTTCACCTTACTATGATTGCATACAATGAAACCTAAACAACAGCTACATCTAAATGTTTTCCATGAAATGTGGAAAAACTTGAAACTTCTATGTCTGCCTCGAACTCAAGAAACCAGGATGTTCACAATGAGCATTCACATTTCATAATATTTCCTGGAAGATGGAAACATTGACTTGCAGTGCAAGGAGCCTCCCAAGAGAAATGCCAAAAAGCCAATGCTGAATGCTACAACCAAGATGGTTTCTTTTAGTTCCTTTTGATAACCCCATCTAGATATCTAAGACTGAAAAGATAGATTTCACTTTCTAGATGCGCAGGGAGATTGGTCTTGAATAATTATCTGAGTAATCCAAATCAGTTTTTTGTTCTTCTTGACGCCACCTTCTTAGTTCACCCTCAACTGCTAGTTTTGCAGAATCTGCCATCTCTGCATTCCTCAGTGCCATATCTGTTGCAGCCTTTATTTCTTCAATTGCTTTCAGATTAGCTTCCACTTTTCTGTCTACTTCATTTCTTCTTGTGTTTATTGCTTCCACTTGAACCATGGCAGCTGTTTCTGTTCTATCAATCAAATCTTCAGATTCCTTTATTTTTCCACTCAGATCCGCAAACTCATCAACTGTTAATATGATCTTACCATTGGAATCTGAATCTGAGACTGTACCTTGTGTGTCAGACATCATCTTCATCTCCTCAATGGCTCTTTGTTCTTCTGCTTTTGCTTCTTCAGCCTGTTTCTGTAGAAGCTCTAGTTTCTTCTCTAATTCTTCAGCCACAGCTTTGGATTTTTCAGCTTCTTGCTTCAGCTCTTGAGATTTTATTCTCATTTCTTCTTCTTCTCTTCTTGCATTTTCTGTCTCAAATAACAGCTGCTTAATTTTCAAATCTGTTTCATCACTGAGTTCAGATTCTACAGAACCTGCATTAGGTCCTGTTCCTTCCAAGCTACTTTGTAGTTCACCAGCTAGGTTAGCAGCAAGAGATTCTAATGCCTGTTCCTTCTCCTTCAGCTCCTCTTGCTCTTTCTTCACTTGTTCTAATTCTGTCCTAAGAGAAGCCACTAGGTTTCTCAAGGAGTTTTCTTCTGCAGCAACTTCCTGCAGTGTCGTTGTGGCTTCTTTAATCTCCAAAGTTATTTGTCTCACAGAATCCATCTCAGAAGCATGAGCCTCTTTCATCTGCTCTCTAAGAACTTGAATTTCTCCATTTGTTTCAGCAAGTTTGGCCTCTAGACTTTGGATTGGTTCAGGATCATACTCATTCTTTAAAGCTATCAATTTGGCTTGTGCTTCTTCCTTAGCAGTTTTGTAAAAACTTAGTTGAGATTCTCTTTCTCCCACGACCTTTGTCTGTTCTTCTTGGGCTTGTGCAGAGGCAAGCTTCAATTGTTCAGTTGATGCTTTCATGGTTGCTATTTCCTTTGAGAGTTCATTGACCTTTTCCGAGTTCAATTTCGCCGAACGCTGAGCTTCTCCTGCTGCCTGGAATGCAGCCAATTTTGCCTCCAAAGCTGCATCAAAATCCTGCCTGATTTTGTTGAGTTCTTGCTTGGAAGCATCTAGTTCAGTTACAGTTGCTGTGTACTCCTTTCTTGCATGCTCTAGTTCTTGTTTCCAAGCTTCATATCCTATAGCTTTTTGGGATAGAGCCTTTTCAAGTTCTTTGGCCTGATTCTTCACAACTTCAGCTGCTTCCATTGCTGATTGCTTAGACTCTCTCACATTGGTGAGCTTCTTTGTCAATTCCTGAAGTGTCACATTGGCCTTATTAAGCTCAGTAAGAGCTTTATTTTTTGTATTCTCAGCACTTTCCAGCAGTTTCTTTATCTTGTTTAATTCTCTCTGGGCCAAGAGAAGCTGAGTCTCCTTTTCCAGTACATTCTGCAAATTACACAAAGTTGCTATTTCAGAAACATAATTTTACAATAAATGACAATATCAATAATGAAAAATGATACAAGTATTATGAAATCCCAAAATCATGCAAATAAAGCACTTGTGCAAAATTGAAAATCTCCTTAAGACATAGGACTAGTGTATTAATTTTAAGTGTCTAATTAACTAGCATTCAGGATTTTTATTATTATTATTATTTGAATATCTTCACTGATTCATCGATTACTCGAATAATCCGATCGAGCCGAGTACCGCATGTCGGCAAAGCTCCTAGGGTCATGCCTTTGGCATCAAGCATTCAAGCTCAATCTAGAAATTTTTTTGAAGGAAAGTTATATTTGATGTTTACCTCTGAGGATCTTCTCTTGATTGAAAGTCTTTCCCTGGGGACAGCTACTACACCAAATAAACTAACAGCAGCTTTGACAGATTGAAATGGTGCTCTTGTGTCAATCTCTCCAACCTCTCCCCTTGGACTTGGAGAACCCATATCTTTTGGCTGATCTCTGTTTCTGAAGCTCATTATATTCTTTTTTTCTTACTTACAAATCGTATCTACAAGATAAATAGTGAAAATGAGTCTTGTTATATGAAACTACAGAACAAAATATTTTATTCTTCCAAACTTTACCTACTTTGTTATATAATATAATTGCACCATTTAATATGCTTACCTTAATGTTTGATGTTACAAGAAAGGACCCTATGGAATGCAATATCCTTACGTGAATGAAACAAATATGAAGCCTGAAGAGTCCTTCTTTCACTTGATAAGGTAGAACCCAGATAATGAATTTGCAAAGCAAAGGTATTGGAAATCAAACGAACCGAGATGAAAACATGGATTCCTTTTAAGTCCAACTTTTATTTACCTTTCCTAGAGACCTTTGAAAACAAGGAACATCCTAAAATATGGTTGGTTATATTTGTTTGGATGTAGAATTAGCTATATGCCTATTTTAGTTCAAGGGGTAGAGAGGTTTGTGGTAGTTCTGATAGTTATATACCAATCATGCATGGTTGTCAAATACAAAAAAATAACCCTTTCCTATCTGTAATTCACAAAGAATTGGGCATACACGGAAAAGAAGGAACAAGCCATGCCATTAGGAGAAGGGTTTTATATATACTGAAATATAGTCTCTTCTAATATCATGTCATACAATTAATTCTCTTGAAAAATGGGTGAAGGAATATAAATAAGATCAAGATCATTTTACACATATATAAGTTACACTTTTAATTTTGGTTGATTCTATTCATATCTAACGACTCTGGTTTATTAGACATATGATATACAAGCAATCAATAATAAAATTTGATATAAATATTTCTTTTTACACATACTTCATATAAATAATTTTATTATATCTTTTGATAAATACTACATTCTCAATTTAGTTTGATTCTAACAACAACTCATTTAATGCAATAACCATCAAAGAGGTTGAAGAGGTTTTTGTCTAACATGTATCATTTAGGCACAACTGATAAGAAAGAGAGCTATTTAAAGCACTAAGTTGAGATTGTGTTTTCGGAGTTCCAATACGATGTGCTTTCCAGAAGGAATGCGTCACCCTGTCGTTGTTTATGGTTAAGAAGTATGTATTAAGAAAGTTGTAGTTTAGATTGTTAAAACGTTTTAATAAAGCACATGCAGGTGTTAATTCGATAATAACCCTTTAGGCCTTTACAAAAAAGTGATGAAACTATATCAACTTTTTCCGAATAATCTATACGAGTCCAATTTATAAGGAGTGAGAATAAAATCTCTGTAGATATCATTACACTCTTTCATAAAGGATCAAAGCCAAACTAACAATAATTTTTTCTAAATATTTTTAGCAGTAATATCGATAAATTGTACATATTTATAAGAACAAAAATAAACGTTTAAATAGAAAGAGTGATATTTATTATTCAAGCTTTGTCTTTTCTCACTCTCTTTTTTCCCCCTTCACCAATCATTCAAAAGAAAAATTGAATAATATATGAAAACTTTCATTACAAATTAATGCCTATATTCGGTAATTTTTCAAGATTGAAAAAAACTCAATTTTATGCAAAATATTTACTTGATAGGCCAAATTGTTAAATTATTGTTGTGAAAGTATGTACTATATTTATCCAGAAAGAATTATTTATTAGGTAAAAAAAAGTGCAAAATATTCTTACATGGGCACATTATTGGATTTTTTTATTATAGACCCGGCCCACAACTTTTTAGGTGCACCTTTTTCCAAAACAGAAAAAATTTCTTCCACTTAAATCCCTCTCTTCTTCACAAATTTTTCCTCCGTCTATTTTGTTTTCCATTTTAGGACAGGGACTTTGAAGTCCCCGTCCATATAAAATGAGCTCCACATTATTGCACATACACAGTACGCACAAGCTTTTGAAGCATGCCCACCCCCACACTAGTCCTTCATAGTTGCAGCAACTTTCTGAGTCTGAGTCCTATAGCTGTTATCCAAAGTATTGCTGAATCTTCTAAATTTCTAATACGTCATTGCTTATTGAGAATCTGAGATCTTGACTATTTACAAGAAGTAGCACCTTAGGAGCTTAATAATACTATCTTTGTCCTTTAATAACCAATATCCCTACCCTACCAAAACCATTCCCTCTTATTGGAACGTTCAGAGTCACACGTTTAAAGTTCAGCGCAAATATTGTAAAAGAAAACACTGAAAGTATTACATAGAATAGAAGAGTGTTTTTTTTTCAGAGAATCATATAGAAAAATGTTAACGTTTAAGTTCACTGTAATCAACGACTGGCAACTATATGCGCATCACATGAAACGATATGGAAATTCATAATTCCATCCAGAAGGTTGCAATAGCAGTAACTTTGGCACCTTAAAAAAGAGCTTGAAATATAAATTCAGAAGATACAAATATTGTCATCAAGTTAAGGTAAAATCCTACAAAATTATAATCTTCATATCAACTTGCCACAAAAACCAGACATTCCTTTTAGAATTCCAGAAGCAGATTTACAACAAAAACGCTTGAGCATATTCCAAGAACTGGCCAGCCAATTAAAACACCCACCTAAACGTTAGATTAATGCGTTTAGTGTCTGCTTTTGCACGCTTGGGCACAGAATGAATCCAATCTCGTTGCGTATAGCCTCTCATCACCAAAAGGGATCCATGCCTTAGTCTAAAAGTATGCTGATCACCATGGCTACTCTTCTTTATTCGCTTGCTCGCAGGTTCATCACTTCCATCTGAAGATCCACACCAAATGATAATATATATTCATGAGCAACCATATAAAGGTTGATTTATCATTTCTCTGCAATCCTTACAGAATGCAGAACAGGAAAACACACACACATACACCTCAATGCTATAGATGTGTGTCAATTTAATGCATATTTCTTTCAAAAAGTAGACACTAGAACTTCCTAACACAGATTACACTTAAACAGTTGACAGATTGAAGAAAAATATATAGGGAAAAGTTCACCAATGCCCCTGTGGTTTGCTTCAGAATCATTTATGTCCTTGTGGTTTTTTTCCTATCACATATGTCTCTGTGCTTTGTAAAAAATAATAAACCACAGGGGTATATGTGATAAAAAACATACCCTTTTACAAACCACAGGGGCACATGTGATAAGAAAAAAATCTCAGAGACATAAATGATTCTGAAGCAAACCGGGGCATTGGTGAAGCAAACCAGAGGGGCATTGGTGAACTTTTCCCAAAAATATATATATATAAAGCATAAAATTGAATTGCATGATTGAAGAAGTGCAGTGATAACTCCAGTAACATAAGAAATCATACCACAAGATTTTTTGCATGGCTTCTTCTTCAAAATGAAGTCACGTTCACATCCAAAAGATAGAGAAGCAATTTGAGGCGTTGGTCCATAAAGCTTCTCATCATCAGCATGCCAACCAACATAGTCATCACCACCTTTATACCTATTTAAGAGTAAGCTATTAAAACTATTCCCAGGGAGAGCTTTCTGAACCTTCAAAAGTAAATAGAAACAAATATTAAGTCAAATTAACAAACATAGGCCAAAAACCCACTAGTCAAAAATATTATTATTATTATTATAATTATTAGCAGAGTTATTGAGGAACAATGTTGATTAAAAAAATCATTCTTACAGCATCCAACATGTCTTTGAGCAGTGGATAATCATCCCAAGAATATGCATGTGGCTGATATCCACTGTAACTTAACTTGGTCAATCCTGGAGTTGCAACATAACATGTGTCTCGAGGCTGCAAAGAATCACATTACAAACTACAACACTTCACAAGGTTGAACTGATAATTTGCTACAATTATTACAAAAAAAAAAAAAAAAAAAAAAGAGGGATAAATTTTACAAATTGAATTAATAGTTAAAATAAGCTTTATTTCTTATTTCAAAAGGGGGGAATCAAAAAAAGATGAGATTTTTGAGGAATCCCACATTTTATCTTTGAGATATTAACTAACCTGAATGAAAGATTTTCCGTAGACGCGAATAGTGGGTCTGGTCCATGGGATGTTTGTGTCGAGATAATTGAACCATGTCCATGACTGATCAAAGGGTATTAACCTTTGAATGTATACGACGTCGCTTCCATTTCCGAGATCCACCGTCTCCCTCTTCGCCTTGTCGTTAGGGTTCTCAACCGGCTCCGCCTTCAGCTTCAACACATTCATCTCCTCATCGACGATGAATGTTCCAAGTCCATAAACTCTTCGAGGGTAAGAGATACAAATGCAAAATTAATTAGCATTTAAAATTTATTATTAATTTCTAATAAATTATAATTGTTACGTTGACGAAAATAAATAGTGATTAAGATGATAAAAGTGATAATTTTTTTTTTTTTATGATAAGTATATCCGTTTCCATGATTTTATAGGATTAATGTTTCTCCTTGGTAACCCCAAATAATCTAATCTTAAAGATATAACATTCCTCTGAGTAAATATTATTTTGGATCTCAATAAAAAATATAGAATCCATTTTAATCTTTTAAAAACAATAGTTAACTTATAGTCTTTTTAAAATTTTAATTCTTTAAAATTGTGGTGCTTTAAAAATTTAAAAAAAATTCATATTAATTTCAAAAAAGTACTAATATAAATATTTTTTCCTAATGAATTAAAATAGTTCCATACTTTTTATCGAGAACCCAAAAAATGATTAAATATTAGAGATTAAAAAGTTAAGGGTATTATATACTAAAACTATATGATACAAAAGGAAAATAAATTACAATTTTTTTTTCTCAAACTTCGAAAATAATATCATTTTAGTTTGCTAGTTAAAAATTTATTTCATGTGGTAGAAAAAATATTTTTTTTCTTATTTTAAATGAAATAATTATATCTTGGTGTTTTTATATTATCTCTTACACAAAAAATTAAAATGAGAGTAAAAAAAAAATTATCGTGAAGAAGAGAAAAAAAAATAAAATACACAGAAGCAAATCATTGAAGTTGTATCATTTAAAATAAGTTACATTTTTGTTATAGATTTTATCGGTTATAATATTAGAGATTCAATTTATGTAAACAAATAAAATAATCCTATCAAATATAGTTTTTTTCCTCTTTTTTGAGATAAATTTAATCATAAACTAAGGTTTATATTTTTTTATTTTATAATGATCTGTCAATTATATCTTGAATTCAAAGAACTTGAACAATTTTGATTATTTTAAAGTAGTTATTTCCCTTCAAAAAAATATTCGAATTATAACCGTTAATTTTAAAAAAAAAGTAGTAAATTTGAATATATTTTTTTAATTAAGAATTATAATCTTGTATTTTTTTAAGTGCGCTTTTCGATTAAGATAACTCAATTTTTTTTTAAAGGGCACCCAGGAATTGGTATATAATATATAACTAGCTCTAATGGCTTTAATTTAAATAAAATTAAACAAAATCTCCTAATTCTACTGAAATTTGTGAAAATATGATGCTACAAGTATTACTTAAAAAACAAAGGAACCGCTATTCTTTGTTCTTTATGAATGCAATAAGGGGTGTTAACGAGTCGAGCCGAGCTTTGGTCTTAACGGGCCGAGCCTGTGTTCAAATGTATCAGACTGGCCTTAGCCTGTTACCTGTTACGAATATAATATCAGCCTGTGGCCTAACTCATTTACAAAAAAATAAAAGTCTGATTTAGCCTGTTAGCCTGTTTTAAAAAAAATAAAACAACTAAAATTTACCCAAACAAAATCTACAATCAACAGTACTGGTAATTTTCTAAATATTCATAAATTTAATGTATATCCAAATAGCATAATAAAAAATAAAATCATTCAAAGAGTCTGTTTAATTAATAAAATGGGATGAAATGAATTGAGAAGAGAGAAAGTGCTATCACAAGTAGTATAAAAAATATAAAAAAAAATATAAAAAAATATATTAGGCAAGCCTGAGAGGCTCTAAGGCCGAGCTTTTGAATTGGAGTCTGAGGTTTTTTTATTAAACGAGCTTTTATACACGTCCAAGCCTGGGTCCAACAATCAGTTTTAGACATGTAAGCTCAGGCCTTCACGAGCCGAGCCAAAGGCCCCTGACTCGTTTAGCACCCCTAAATGCAATAGAAATTTAAACTAACAACAAAAACAATTCCTTCAGCTGTTGGAATTTATTTTATTATTAAACAATTAAGTATTTTTTTTACCGTATCATCAATTTTTTATTTTTGGAATTTGTTATCGACACTAGTTAAAGGAAATAAGAATAAAATGTATTTATTAAAAACACAAAATAATAATTACTTATTTAAGTAATTACGAAGGGTATTTAATGCTCTTTCATCAATGATCTTAAAAATTCATTCCCATTTTTTTTTTGGCCCATCATTTTGAGACTCTCCTCCTCCTTCACAGTTGACAAGTATTTTTGGTAGACTTGAAATCTGATTTCAGAAAAATCCCCCACATATCACCATTTACTATTTGCAAGGCACATAAGATCATTGGAAGCAGTATTATTCATACCTCAACTACACAACCACAATTATAGCTGAGTAAATATAATTGTACAATTTTATATAAAGTATAAAGTATAGACAGCTCCTTTTTAGTTAATGAATAATTTAATAGATCCATCTCTATTCTATTTATGTAAAATAGTAACTAACAATGTAGAAGTAGAACTAGAAGAATAAATTAGCAAGCATCACAACCTCTTTTTCCTTGACTTACCTGAAAATCAATACAATACCACCCAAACCTACGCAATACCCAATGAGTGCTCATAGCTAAAATCAAGGGCTGATTTTCTACTACTTTTTTTGTGATGTAATACAAGGTAACACAAGTACAACACACCATAAAGACCAAAGAAGCCATAAATCACAACTTGTTCATTTGGAAATGCAGCTTCTAGTGGCTCATCACAAACTAGCTGCTAAATTTCATTGGAATATGCATCTATAATTTTTATTTTATTTTATTTTTTAATTTTTGGTTGAAAAATCTATGAAGGGTTTAATCACAAGCAGGACTCTAACTACAAATAAAATGTTACAATTATGATCTTGTTAGAGATCTAGCCCGAGGACACTTGCAATTTCTGCACACTATACTGAGGAAGCAACAGGTGTGATCAACTTGATCGTCAATTCTATCTCCCCAGACTCTACTCCACGAAGCTTTAACCAAACATTCTGCACAACCTCACCATTAACACAATTGATACTGCTTTCACGGACAAGACAGTTTTCACCATCAGGTATCACCTTCCTTATAGTTGTCTCACCAGAGGAGACTCCTAAAATATCTCTCAATCTAGCTGCAGACACTAATGGTTGAAGGTTGAGGAAAGCATTTCCCATCTTGTCATCAGCCTTCAAAAGATCTTTATCAAATACTTCCTATAAAAAAGCAAATCGGTTATACAACATGAATACCAAATAAGTAGTGTCCTGAACTCAGAATTTCAAAAAAATTCATCAGAAAAATGACCAATATATTTCATAACCACAGTAAAATACATGAACTTGAGTATCTTCCAAGCAATAAAGACTAATAAACTAGGAAAAACTGAAGAAAACAAAGAATGATGGGGCATATTAACATTTAATCGTGAAAGAATCTAAAGCAAAAGGAAAAAACTGAAGAAAGAGAAGGGGTCTATATTTAGGTTTAGAGTATCATGTCTCAACCACTCATCCATTCTTATTCTAAAAGAGATAGATGGTCAGTGCCATAAGACCTGAAAGTCAGTACTCAGTTGCACACAGCTTCCAGAGTTCTTAGATGATACGAATGTAACGGTTAGGGAGCCAAGGATATCAACCAGTGAAGGGCCCAACCAATTTTCCTTTCCCCCATTCCTCTTCGGGCCTGACTGTTGGATATCCTTGGCTCCCCAACCTTTACATTCGTACCATTACATGAGTCTATTATATTTCCATAAAGAACTCCTTCCCCTACCTCATCTCTAAGGTGTCAAGAAAAACCACAATGCTACCATTTTTAACATTGGTAGAATTCAGAAATTTAGAATGCATTTGGTTCGTTTGTTTGCTTTTTTCAATTGATATGTTTTCACCAATAATTTTAAAAATGCAATCTTGTGTTCGCTTTGTGTCAGTTGAAATATTCATTTTCACCATTTTCTTTGCATATTCTTGAACAGGAAACGAAGTGCAAATAATGGAAACATATCAACTGAAAATATGAAAAAAAAAAAAAAAAAAGCACCAAAATCAACATTTTAATTTCTGTCCAAATGCACAAAGGGCATATTCTAGCATTTGAGACTCATTTGAATAAACTGAAGTGGACATGGTGCATGTTTGGATTTGATTGTTTGTAAGAGAATAATCATTTTTCTTTTTTGAAAAAGATCTCTCAATAAGGTTATGATTATAAAATAAACTGTTTTTAACACAAAAATAAGTTAATTGAAACACACATATTATATAATCCACAGCTTTGGCACGCATCTCCTGCAGTTGCAAATAAACTGATGAGTGGTAAGAATGAAAAGGCTTCCTGAGGGATTAGTGAATTAAGAATGAAGAAAACATAGAAACAGGACACCCAACAAACTTGGAGCAGCTTGGATTGAATGAATACTGAAAAATAGCAAGGTGAAAATTCACACGATAAAAGTGTTTGTAAAATGAATATTTAAGCACCAGATGAGACAAATTTCTATAACAGGGGCTTTACAAGCACAAAGTTTAGCCAAACATTCAAGTAATAACAGGTAGTTGAGATCTGCTAACACCTAAGGAGTCTGCTGAAGCTACAAAACAGGGTGCTTGAATCAGCAATATATCAATTATTTATGCGGGAATGGTTATCTGAGACTATAAACTGAATGCGACTTGACTCAAAAAGTTGTCAGCTACCCACGGATAGAATATATAAGTTATTAACTTCCACTATGGATTATTAATTTGCTTTTTATTTTAGATCATCTTAAGGTGTTCTCACCCATTCAACTTCCAAACAGAAAGTAGTAGAAAATATTGGAATGTCTGACATATTATGTTGGAATAAATTTTAAATGTCCGTTTTTTAGCAGTTTTGGTTATTTAGTTTCTATTCTGCTTTTCTTCAACTTATTAGGTTCAATTACTTCAGTGCATTCGAGAATCAGGACAAACATAAAAACTTGAACTGCCTGCAAAGTTTGAAATCAGTAGATACCAACATCAGGAAACTAACCAAATTCAGAACTCCCAAGGGTTCAGTCAGAGTGAAATTCAGCTCTTCATTCCAAACAGGATTCAAACAGCTATTAATGACCTTGGTCTTTGCGGTCTGGTACAGTTGAACAAATCATTTAAACATTTTGAGGTTAAAATATGCTAAATAATGTTAATGTCAAGGTAAAAAAAGCTAAAAATGAAATTGAAATATAAATCCCAGTTACCTGATTCCCTAGTTTGAGCACAACATAAGGATCACTGCTCTTGAAATCCCGGATCACCAACCTTTTCCCTTGCACAACTAAGACTTTTAGCAGCCCCAGCTGTTCACTCATTATAGTCCTACTAAGAAGTTAAATTATTAATCAACCAGGGTACAGACCACAACACAAAATATGCAGTTAAGATATTTGGTGTTCAACTCTTCATGCAGATAAAAAACACAACAAAAACAAAGCAACAAGGAGGCCAAGTACGCATGATGTGTGGTTGAAAATATTCCCCCTCTGCAAAGAATCTCAAGTTGTCACTCAAAACCAAAAACAGATGGAAGTTTCATTTTTCTTTTAACCTTTTTTAAAAAAAGAACGATGAAATCCTTTTTTTTTTCTTTTCTTTCTGTTAATAAGATTTATCCAGCAACATTACGGGGAAACCCAATGCAAGAATAATGAAAAATGTAACTTAAACTGGAGAATAGAATAAACCATGTCCATGCATATTCTGCTGGAGAAATACTTGTAAAGAAGGGAGCTTGCAGTTGAAAAGCAAGGAAGTTAAATACTTAAATTAGCAACAACACCCAAAACAAAAGTTGAGATTTTTCAAATAGCTAAAAATTGCTATAATAATAATAATGATGATAACAAAACATTTGGTACCGACAACAGAAACCATAGATTATTCAATCCAATGAGAAATAAGCAAGTGAAGAATGAAGAGGGTATATTCCTAAGTGAATCCACATTAAATAAACAAAAAGAAATAAATCTTAAGTAGGAGTAGGACCCCAACCCCAAGTGAAGAGATGAACTGTGTTTAGCACTTGGCAACATTGATTCAAGTTCAACTAAAAAAATAAGAAATGATAGTATATCCCTTTTCGAAGCTAAAAGCAAGGAAACCAAAGAAACAAACAAACACACAACAAAGCTGGAACAACTCACCACTGGATTTGTGGTGATGTGTTTGTTGTTATTTTTGTTGTTGTTGTTGTTCTGAATCAGTTATGAGCAATCAGCATCAGACTTAAAGGCAATGGAACAACAACCTCGTTTACCGGCAGCAGCAGGTGGCCAAGGTGGAACAACTGTTTATAAAGACAACAGAGGTAAAAGGTAGAACATACACACCTGTCGGTCAAAGGGTATCATTATTAATTATTACAAATGTTGGCCGCAGGATTGACCAGACCTGGTCTTCTTTTTTACACCTTTCAACAAACACTATCCATTCATATATGAACTGTAGCAGTGCGTGTGCGTTTTGTGACTCAGTTCGCTGATGACTCTGACAACGCTTTTTCTTTCTTTCAACAACAACAAAAAAAAACAGTATTCCTTATTTATTTGTTAAAAACCTAAAACACCAAACTGAATCATGTGTAGTGTGTGTTACAAGTTACAACCTTCGAACGCGTGAACCGCTTTTGTTACGGTTCGTCTTTTCTTTTGACACGGTCACACACACTATCGTATTCATAATGTCAATTACGTAGTTCACAATTTACATATCCTTTTGTTTTATTATACGGTGCAGGTTATATTTACAAATTTTTTTTATTTATAAACTCTTACAAACTACACTAAGTATGATTGGTGATACTTTAATGAGTCATACGTAGTGTACTTTGCAAAAAAAAATTTGTAAACGGATCATATCCCTTATTATATTGTTCTCATTTTACTTTTTTGCTTATTCTAATAAAAATTTGAGCAAATATCATTTTTGGTCCTCATCAAATTTTACGATACCCGCTTTAGTCCCTAGCAAATAAAAAGGCTATACGTGATCTCTAAAAAATTCAAAGTGAACCCATTTTAATTCTTTTGAGGGATTAATGTGGATCTTTTTTGAATTTGTGATGGATCACGATTTTAACTAAATAGATCCATTTTGAATTTTTTAGGAACCACGAATAGCCTTTTTATTTGCTAGAGATTAAAACGAATATCGTGAAATTTGCTGAGGACCAAAAAAGATATTTACTCTAAAAATTATAAGCTTCTACGAGAATATATATTTATCTTGTTGCATGATATAATTTTATTTTGTTTATACAAAAAAAAAAGGTTTAAGCTCACTTTTTTTCTTTTACTTTTTTCTCAAACTCTGCAAAAAAAAATTTAATATATATGAGACTCTCACAATATTAAAAAATAATTCTCATATTTTTTTATATTGTAAGTCTATAAGTAGACCGAGTTGGAAGAACTTCTTTGGTTTATTTTAGTTCATTCTAGGGTTCTTTTTATCAGCGGCGGAGCCAGCAAGATTAACGAACCAAGGTCAACAAAATTTAGTTGGTTTCAATGATCAAATTTTATTTCTTCAACTTAGCTATAATTATTTATTCATGTCTAAAACGTGACTAATTTTTTAAAATTAGCTAAGGCCTGAAGCGGCTCCACCACTGTTTTTTATGTCAGTGGCTTTTATTTATTATGTACAGATATTATTAAGCTTTTTGTAAATATTTTAAAGCCCTTAGTTAATACTTTTTAAACTAATTGTTGCGCATTAAATGATAGAAGTATGTTAAAAGATACTTTCAATAACTGTGTTTAAGCTCCCCTTTTTGGTAATATTTTAGCAACTCGTGATAGTTAGTGGGTTCATCATGCTAAAATAATATTTCTAATATAATAATCTCATAAAGAATAAAAAAAAAAGTGTGGGTGGGCATGTGTTGAGACTCGTATGTGTTAGTGCCAGTTTGCCAGTGTGACCAAGTGACTAATTTTGTCGGCACGTAAAATCACACTTTTTCAAAGCTCAAAAGATTCTTACGTTAAAGATGTGTAAAAAATATAGATCATTCATTGGCATAAGATAATTTACTTTGCATAAGTGATACTTAGTAAACGCATTTTGTTCTATGGGTTTTATAAGAGTTATCTTGTAGAAAAAATGATTGTGTTATGTTATAGAAATTCATTTTGCGTGCTATAATTTTTTTTTTTCAAAACATACAGGTCCCACAAAATGTTGTGTGTAAGAAACTTTTTGCGGTCATGTTAAATGATGAATGAACCCCTTGTTCTATTTACTGCTTTTGTTGTCATTGGTTCGATATAAATTGAGGAAAGATATTGAAGAAGAATGCAAAAATAGTTAGCTAGTAATATTGTTCCGGTACTTATTTTATTTCCAAAGAATAATCAATTTATTAATTGCATTAATATATACAAACGAAACATTTGCAGCACAAGTAAAGAATGCCAAGTCGAGTCGTGGTGGTCGTGAACTCATTTCAGTTGACAAAGTCGAAAACTAAGGTTCATAAACCATACATGTATAACACAAAAACAACATGAAGGAGCAAACGATAAGGTCATCTTTTTCACGGATGCTAAGACTACAGAAACATGAACATAAGATAAAGATACAAATACAATTATCCCCACGTATAGCTGTACATGTTGCCCCAGTCAAAATATCAATTATGCTGGTAGGATGAACGACATCCTCATGAATCATATGTTAAACCTATCACCTAAACTAATAAAAGGTCATTTAGCAGAACATAACCCTAAAGCAACATCACTTTTTTTTTACTTTTTTTTTTTCTAAACGTGGGAATGACAGCGTTTAAATTACATCTAGAGGGTGGCTACAATACATGCAAAGCACATCTATTAGTGTGTCAATAAATGGCAGTCATCATTCACACTGATACTTGGATTTGCACTGAAACAGATTAAATGCTGACTGCTACTGAAAATGACTCGTGCTACAGCAGCCAAACTGCTCACCGTTTTTGCCCTGAGCTTTTCTTCCCTGAGGGAAGTTTCCATTTGCTCTGCATCAGCCATTCCCAGTGATTACAGATTAGCTTAGAAAATGTACAAAATTTTTATCAAGTAAAAGAAAATAAAAGTAGGGGCCGCAATTCTACTAAGGCTTAGTTATTTACCAGTGGTTCGTCATCAGAAACCTCAGCAATTCTGGCACCATCAGGACTTGCCGGCTCAATAAGCGATTTTTCCATCTCTCTGGAAACTGATTCTTCTTCTCCATTAACATTTTCTCTCAAAGCTCCACTAGATTCTTCCACGTCTCTCTCTTTTGAATTCCTTTCTTCATCACCATTTTGAACTCCTTGTGGAACACTGAGAGTGTCTTCAGAAAGTCTCTCACCATAATCCTGCTTCTCTTTATCCGATTCTTTTCTATAATTCAAGCTCTTCTCTTTCTTAAGTCTCTTTCCACGTAAAACTGATCTTACTTTCTTGTTAGTTTTCTTCTCCTTGGTTATGATTACGTTAGACCTATCAGCCTGCTCCCCTTCAGAACCACCTAGAATAAAAAATTAAATAAAGCAGACGAAAATGAAGCAGGAGTCTTGCAAAATAATGAGGAACCACAAAAACATCACTAAAATTAATTATAGTTGACGAAACTCCAGGTCGCAAACTAAGAATTAACCATTTCAGAAAAGCAAGACTTCTTCTCAATGATCACCAGCAATAGATAGATTGACATGATACCTAATGAAACAAAACTTCAGCTAAAAGCTATATTAGATTCCATATCACAAGTGAAATATACAGCACAATAATTGAAAGAGTTTGGTAACCAACATTTACTTGGCTTTCTCCTCTTAATTATCAAAATGCCTGGCCAAAGATTGTCAATTTCAAAACATATACATTACTTTATTAATTAGTTTTTTTTTTTTTTTTAATACGGGTATGGTGGATAAGAGGGTGAACCTTGGCCAAACATTAAATCCATATTTGCTTGATACACACTCAAACATTATCACATTAATCAGTCAGAAGAGGTAAATGACAATCAATACACGCATCACATATCTTGTAGGATACATTACCTGAGTTAATCTCAGCTTTAGATATCATAGTATCTTCAGGGTTTGATAACTCAGAACTCTCTTTGGCATCCTCTTGATGGAAATTACTTTTTGATGCACCTTTTTGTCCATGTTTTACACGCTTGCTAGGAGATTGTTTACCATTAACTCTAAACAACAAAATGAAACAAATTATAATGATGGAACATAGATCAAAATCACAAATGTACAATAGGGTCTCATTTTTTCCACTGACATTCTTTTTGTCTTTTTACTTGCTGAGCCACTTGAACTTCTCTGTTTCTTCCCAGTAGACCTATAAAATAATCAAGAAAATCAACCCACAAAAGGAAGACAGCACACTCAGAATGGGATACAAGACCATATTAATTATGCTACTAGAAATACAACTCATTGCACTTAAAGCAGATGAACATGTATTCAACTTTTCAAAAAATATATGGAAATTTTCATACGTAGATGTGCAGTGAAACATATTCATTCAAATACAACTAAACTAAAAACTAATTTGTAAAGGGGAAACTTACACTTCACCAGAAGAGAGAGGTTTTGATGGCTTTAGCTTCTGGAAAGATCATAATATAAAAAACAAATTAAACTCCAATGCTACTATATAACTTTTACTGGAAATAGAAAAAGTAGAAAAGTAGAACTGCTAAAGAGAACGAAAGAAGACTGATGAAAAATCAGAGACCTTGGTAGGTTTGCGATCCCTGTCAATAAGCTCCCAGCGCTCCTTTCCCAAATGGAGTACTTCTACATCTCCGTCATTATATAATATCTTCCACATGACATGACAGTAAAATTGCGTCAAATTGTAATAGTTAGCTGGCAGAATAACATTGCACCAATTCAGAGTGTGAACTTACCACATGCTTCCTCTTTAATGGGTCATAAGATTTAACAGTACCTTCATAAAATCTAGAACATCAATAAACCAACGTGAGAACCTCAATTAGAAATGCAAGGAAAACAAGAGAACAAATTGAAGATTTTAGAAATTCGTCTCAAGGGTTTAAAGAAGGCAGACAGAAAAAGCACGTTAGATAGTAGAAAGCCATAAACTAATAATTAATCTAGTTCCAGTCAGAAATAACATCAGGTAATGAGAACAGATGCAGCATGAAAAGCTTAAGAAATAAGCAAATTAAGAAAGGTGTAGTCGAAAGAATCAGCTAAACCCATAAGTCATTTAGAGAATGTGATCAAAATGCTTCCTACATCACTTAAAAAACCTAAGTCCTTCCCTTGATTGTCCTTTATATAAACAAAAAAAGCGGAATCCATGCATTGTTTTGCTTCTACAACTGATCTCTCTAGATTTATGCTAAGCACTCACTGCTTATCCATAGGCCACCAAACTTTAATTCTGCAGCCAATCAGATCTTCAGCATCACTTTCACCATCCTTTGTCGTACACTATAGACAAAAAATAAATGAACGAATGAATTAATCAAAACAAACTATAATCCACGAGACTTGCTGGAACACAAACATTATAAAATGACATAGAGAAGCTACTGACATGAAAACCACTACAATATTGTAGAAAGATTTACCTTAGCCAATCCTCCAATACTTTTTCTTTTCAGCTTTTTAGTATGTCCTATGGGCGACTTGAAATTGTCACTTTCAGTCATATCAGTTGGCTTTGATTTATCAGGACTCTGAAATAGAGGCGGAAAATAAGCAGAAGCCTACAACATTGACTACTTCTACTATAGGATCCTATATTAGTATAAATCTACTTCACAGTAAGATTTCACCTTCATGTCATGCTCTTCAGATTTGTAGGACACATCGTCATGATAGCTCTCCGAGGCCCTAACTTTTAGTTCAAATGACGGCTCCCTGCCTTTGACCATTTTTCTCTGCATAGTTTTGCTATCTGTATCAGGGTTAATTTCTGCATCCAACGGTAATTTCACTCCAGAAGATCCTTCCCCTGAAACTCTTCGGGGAGCCTTAAAAGTACTACTGGGTCTTGATTTTCTATGGGTAATGGAAGACCGCCTACGTTTAGGCACTGGAACAGGTGTTGCTTCTCCAGCTTTTCGTTTTTTAGTTGTTGCAAACTCTGGATCCTTCTGAACCTTCTTACCTAAAGAGTTTTCATGACCATTACTTGATTCAAAATTAGTAGATATGCCCAAGTTATCCAAATTAATTTGTCTGACCACATTTATGATATCAATATCATTTTCAGCCATTTTTGTTTCAGCTGGTACAGACTTGTTCTTTTTCACTTTTTTGCCCTTGGTTCCCTGAGATTTTATGCTCTTTATTATTTTTCCCAGGGGCATTTCCTTTCCGTTTTTTTCACTGTCCTGTAAAGCATCATCCTCAGCTAGTTGAGATGGAACCTGACATATGGAAGGAACATTATCACATGATTCAAGATTTTAGATGCAACATAAATTGCTAATTGACTTTACCCTTTGCATCAAACATACCATTTCTGATTCAGGTGATTCAAAATGAGCCAACACACTTTCATCGGCTAACCAGGTTTTTATTTCGCTTACCTGCCAGATGAAATAAGTAGCATTGATTAGCATTTTTTAATGAGAAGTAATCCAAGATCTTAGAAATGTTAAAAATCTGTCTCAGTTCCACGATCAGAATAAAGCTTATACCAAACCCCCATCAAACATTATGAAGATGTTATCACCGTTTAATCGCAGTAAAATGTCTGCGTAAGTGTCTATATCTGATCTCTAGCATCACAAAAGTTCAATCAATTAAAAAGATCAAATACCTTATGTTGAGCCAAAATAACAACCAATTCTACAACTTAAAATACACTCAAAATGTTATAATTAACAAAATTTAAAACTAATATAAGGTGATATAATGCTGTTGTAAATAATAATATTATTTTATTTTAAATGGAGTGTTGTATTCTAGGTGTTGTATTCTAGAATCTTCTTTGGACTTAGCCCATTAGATCATTTAGTCTTTTTAAATAGAGAGCTTACAGTTGTAAAATACAATCCTACTTTTCAAGTTCTTTCTTTTCAAGTTGGTATCAGAGCTTTCAATCCTAAGGGCTCTGCTTCCGCAACTACTGCCTTTAGAGCGGAACCCTATTTGTTTGCCTCTCGCCGCCACCGGAAATTTTTTTCCGGGGACCTTTTGAACCAAGAGGATCACTATTTGACTTCGTTTTTCTAGATCTATCAATCCACAGACGTTTCCCAGTCACAAAACAACTCAAACAGCCCCAAAAAGTTCAAACCGCTACTATTTTTCACTGGAACAGTACTATTCCGATGCCTTTTCAACTCCAATCTGCCTCAGACCACCTCAGTTGGACTCGTCTTGGCTCCCCCGGTTCCAGATCTACACTTACCTCCTTGATCAGACACTTTTCCAGCAGTCGGTCTTTGATCTAGTCATAAAAATCGGATCTTTTTGGCCACTCGCGCCTCTTTTCATCAGGTCTGATTTTTTTTGTTGCTATTTGGGACGTTCAGAGACATCTATTTGTCATAAAAATCACATCTTTTTCGGCCTCTCAAGCAGCCTACTTTGATCAGATCTGACTTATTTGTTACTACTTGGAACGTTCAAAGGCTTATGTGGTAATTATTCAGACTCCTTTTGTGCTGCCTTCTTTTTTTCGTCAATGAGAAGTTCATGCATCCTCTGTAAGGGGTCTAGACACTTGTTCTTTGGCTATGTTTGGTAAGATTACACACCCTACATCTCTTCTTGCTTCTTGCACTGATTTTAAAAATTCGTGGATTATGGATTCTAGTGCAACTGATCATATGACTTGTTTGGTAATACAATCTTACTTTTCAAGTTCTTTCTTTTCAAGTAACGCAAGCAGCAGCAACGTTACAAATCTATCTCATTTAATAAAAGGTATCTTCAAGAATTAGCAACTATCTGGAAGGTGTTTTGTCCAGCATGTGAAAGTATATTTAGCAATTTAGCATACCAGAAGGAAACTACATAATTTGACAAGAAAAGAGAATACCATGATGTCATTTTCCTTCTCACGTAATTTGTATAGTATTGGAGGTAGAGAAACTGAACGAGACAATCCTTGCAAATCAACATCCTTCGGTACTAGTCGCCTGGTGATTGCTAACCCAAGGTCACATATCGCATAAGAATTCTGGCCATTTATGAATCACAGACGTAAGATTATAGGCTCTCATCACTTTAACATTTGCAATTTTTATCCATAATCAGAAATTTAAAAAAATTAAAATTATCCTCAACCTTCGACTTTGATGCATCAACCATATCTTCAGAGTGCTTGATACTCTGAAAGATAGAAGTGATGGTAGATATAATTTCCTTCTCTATGTTAGTAGTTACTTCTGACTTGACATCTTCATCTTTTTGCACTAGCATTGATAGTATCAAGTGCAACTTCCTGAAATTCAGGACAGAATATAAATTCCGTAAGAATGAAAATTCCCAACATATTCCATATTTTGAAGCTTACTAACAGAAGTAAATCTGTAGGTATCAGACCAAGATGCATTCCACATTCATATTCAAAAATATCATCTACACGTAATGTGTGGACTGCAACAAATCAGTAAAATAGATACATTTAAGTGTTACAGCAAAAAACTGTGCGTAAAGATCCTAAGTCCTAACTGTATTTGGACAGGGTAAATCAAATAGGCATTGACAAGAGGACCCTTAAAAGCAAAAGCCTTTACTGCACATACACGCTACTACGCTAGTATGGATTTTGACATTATTCCAAACTAAGACTGACTCTATATAAGCTTTCCATAAACTCTGAAGCCTGGCAATTGGAATGCATAAAGGCAAACTTTTGAAAAAAGCATGTGGCTGACTTTATATCTTTCAATCTGCAGACAACCTTCTATAAGCATTATATTATATGTATTATTTAATATAAATCATATAATCAGTACCCAGGACACCAAAAGTTACAAAATACAAAAGCAAACTCCAGCTCCCCAACCCCACAGCACAGTAGCTAGATTCAAGTGTTTCTTTTGAACCTGTTTTAGAAGACTATCTAAATATAAATCCAGTACAGAGATGTTATATATGGGTAAAATGGTACCTGTATATATTATCATAAGCTTCAACATCCTTGCACTCGTCAATATTGGGACATGATATGTTAGCAAGTGCATGAACTAGGTACGGAAGAATGTATTCAGGGAAAGTCGTAAAGGAATTTGCATCTGATTGTCCAGAAAGCTGCCGTGCCCTTCCTTGGTGATGCATGTGAATAATGTCAGCCAGGTTCTGCTTATCCTGCATTAACAGACACAAGTCATCATAAAGACAAATTGATGTCAAAGCTAGGAATATTTCAACTGCAAAAAAAAAAAAAAAAAATCGATAAAAAATTACCTCTGCAAACTCCTCTGGCTTGGATCCAGATATGTTGACCATGAAGGCACATGCATATTTGGCATCCAAAAGGCAATCTTTTATATATTGATGAACTTTGCTTAAGAAAACCTTCTTAGCTTGAGGGAAGCTAATCTATAAGACCCAAAAGAAGACAGAACAGTTATTTCTACATTGAACTGAAATAAAAACTTAAAATATATTAATTTTGACCTATGCATATGAAGAGTAAACTTGTGTTTTGATAATAATGTGGTGAATAAATCATAAATGCTCGATAAGAAACTAGGCAAACAGAAGGAGGAACCCACCTCTAATGCCCTTAAAGTTAAGTGGAAAATATCAACTGGTATCTTATGATCCCAGAGCCTTGACAAACGAAGAACTGCCTTTGCAGATGCAAGCCTCAAATGGGCCTTATCAACTGAACTGCAAGAGGGCATAAGTGCATAGCATTTGAACCCAAAAAATCCAATTTGGAAGTGAAAAAGAGAAAAAGCAACAATTTTCAGATAAATTAAAAAATATAGCTCTATGAAGCTGATATACCTTGACTGTAGGTCCTTTGATATTTCACCATAAGATAGCATGTTTCTCAGGATATCCAGAAGACCATCAATACCAGAACGAACATGAGCATCTTTGACAGGTAAGTAGCTCTTCACTATGGTTTTGATGCCATATATCTGCAGCAAACAAAGAAAAAGAAGGGGGACAAAGAGGCAGAATAAAATAAACTGTTAATATTAGAAACATAAAATAAACCAATTCACTTGTCTTCACCTAACAGCTTTAAACTTTCGGAAGAGTTTATTCATGACATAATATCAAAATGGTCTTAAGTTTAATCCTTGTTACTCCCATTTTTCGAATAAAAAGTTGAATTTCAATACAAGATAGGTAGATGGCCTGTGCATTGTTCTTGCTTCAAGCTCAGAGGGCTTTTGCTTAAAGGGGTGTGTTAGAAATGTAATTTAAAACCATTTATGTGTCTCCACCTAATAGCTTAAACTTCTAAAAAAATTGGTTCGTGACATCCAAAAGCAGCTAATGAGCATTATCCAGTGTATCAAATTACAGAATACAAATGCTATCTGTTGTAAATAATAATTTTTTTATTTTTTTATTTTAGAATCTTCTTTGAGTTTAGCCCAATAGGTAATTTAGTCTCTTTAAATAGAGAACTCTTTGTACTGTTGTATACACAATACAATTATTATAATCCTTCTTTTCAACTTGGTATTAGAGCTCTCTTTGCTTCCGCGACTACCGCCTTTAGAGCGGAACCCTTATTTTTTGCCTCTCGCCGCCACCAACTGCCAATGGAAAAAATTTCCGGGGACCTTTTGGACCGAGAGGACCACTGTTTGACCCATTCTTTTTTTCGATCTATCATTTTATGGACGTTTCCTAATCAGCAGACGACTCAATCAGCTCCAAACACCTCCGACCAGCTTTGTTCTCAACGGAATAGCACTTTTTCGGCGACTTTTGAACTTCGACCAGCCACAGACAGGATCACAACATATGGGCGACCCTGCCATGAATAGACCACCGCCGTCCGCGCCCTCACGTGCGGCCTGCACTCTCTACGCGTGGGACTCACAATCCACCACTCTCCTGGTGCTTGAGCACGTGCCGCCACCGTTTTGCCTCGAACCACCACGTTTGTAATTGTGTTGCCTTCCCAGTTCCAGATCTGTCCTTACTTGCTTCATCTGACACTTTTCCAGCAGTGGGTCTTCGATCTCGTCATAAAAATCGAATCTTTTTTAGCCACTTGAGTCTCCTTTGATCAGATTTGACATATTTGTTGTTGTTTGGGCTCTCCTGAGACTTTTGTGACTTTACTGATAATTACTCACTTCTTCTGTGTTGTTCTTTTTTGTCCATGGGACATTAGTGCACCTATTGTAAGAGTGTTGGACACACAAGAGACATGTGTTTTCGTCTTCATAGGAAGTGTGATAATGCCACTCCATATGTGAATACTCAGCAAGGGGAGTTGGAGCAGCTTAAGGCCGCTATTGATATTCTGTGTAAGTCGTTTGACCATTCTTTGATCTTGTCTGGTAAGAACACACATTCTACATCTCTTCTTGCTTCTTGCACTGATTTTAAAACCTCATAGATTTTGAATTTTGGTGCAACTGATCATATGACTTGTCTTGCTGAGTCTTTTCTTTCTTATCATCATACTGTTGGTAGTCATACTATAGCCATAGCCGATGGATCCCATAAATCAATTATTGGCTCAGGTAACATTCAAATCCAACCTCCTTGTTTCTTAAAAATACTCATGTTCCTCATTTTTCCACTAATCTTATCTCCAATCAAAAGCTTACAATCGATTTAAATTGTTTTATCACCTTTTTCCCTTTTCATTGTGTTACTCAGGATCTCACCACAAGGAAGACAATTGGAGTTGCTGAGAAGCAAGGTGGGTTGTATTATCTCCTTCCAGAGCATGCTACAAATGATACCAAAAATCAGCTATTGATGACACGTCATCCTTCTACTGCAGAATCTATGATTTTGCTACATCACAACGTCTGGGGCACCCACCATTTAGTCTATTGAAGTCAATGTTTCCTTCTCTGTTTCTAAATCAGTCAATTGAGACCTTTCATTGCGATGTTTGTGAATTTGCAAAACATCATCGAGTGTCTTTTCCCTCTAGTGCTATCTGTTGAGATATATAAAACCATTAATATAGTCTCACCCAACAGCTTAAACTTTTGAGTTGAATTGGTTCTTTACATGGTATCAGAGCCTCGGTGTACCGGGTTTGATCCTCACCGCCCCCCACTTTCTTTCAAGTGGAATTTCTTTCTCCGCACAGGTAGGTGGGCCTGTGCATTGTCCACCCTTCAAGCCCAGTAGGCTCTCGTGTGAGGGGGCGTGTTGAGATAATATAAAACCATTAATATAGCCTCACCCAACAGCTTAAGCTTTTGGGTTGAATTGGTTCTTTACACTATCAAAAACATTGAACCTTTTTCTCTTATTCATTCTAATGTTTGGGGGTCTTCTAAAGTGCAACGTGGTTTGTTTCTTTTGTTGATGATATACTCGGGTGACATGGATATTCTTGATGAAAGACAAGTCTGAAGTACCAGAGATATTTATCCGATTTTATCACATGGTCGAGACTCAGTTTGGTAAGAAAATTAAAAGAATAAGATCTGATAATGGTACTGAGTACGTCAACCACCGTCTGTCAAAATTCCTTTTAGACAAAGGTATGATTCATGAGCTCACATGTGTTGATACCCTTCAACAAAACGGGATTGCTGAAAGAAAAAATCGTCAACTCCTTGAAGTCACTAGAGCACTACTTTTCCAAACATCTGTTCCTAGTTCTTATTGGGGAGAAGCTGTGTTAGCTGCAGCCTTTTTGATCAACCGCTTACCTTCACAGGTCCTTAACAATATCCGTCTTATTTATTCCATGACTTCTTTCGTTCCTCTTTTTCCCATTTTGCAAAGTCTTCCGCCATGATGTTGCCTTTGTCCATGTTCATAAACAACATCGCAGTAAGTTGGATCCTAGGGCTCTTAAGTGTGTCTTCTTTGGTTATGCCCCTGATAAAAAAGGCTACAAGTGTTATCATCCTCCGAGTCGGATATTTTTTGTTTCTAAGGATGTCACTTTTCATGAATCTGAGTCTTTTTCCCCAGATCCTCATCTTCAGGGGAGAACAGTTCTTCATAAACTCGTCCCCTTCCTTCTTTGAGTCTAGGTCGTCCTTGTCTACTCCTACACCTCTCCCTCTTGTGTCTACTACTGATGTGTCAGAGCCTTGAAATACACCTGAGATACGGAAGATTTTGACACCTGAATTGGTATATCAGAGGAGGAAACAACCCATATTGCTTCACCAGCAACTTCAATCGTTTGAATCACTGGTAAGTCCTGAATCTCTTGTTTCTGAATCTCCTATTTCTGAATCTAATATTATTGCCTCTAATGACTTGCATATTGCTTCTGATACATCTGATGACTTACCCATTGCCCTAAGAAAAGGAAAAGAATCTTGTACCCAAAGATCTTGTCCCTCCTGTACCCAATACTCTATCTCTCATTTTGTCTCTTCTACTAACCTTTATGTGCACCACAAAAGCTTTGTTTCATCACTAGATTCTATCTCAATCCCAAAATTAGTACATGAAGCATTAAGAGATGAGAATTGGACTCAAGCCATGTAAGAGGAGATGAATGCCTTGGAGAAAAATAAAACATGGGAGGTTGTTGATATATCTAATGAAAAGAAAGCAGTAGAGTGCAGATGAGTTTACGCCCTAAAGTATAATTCTGATGGTACTCATGAGAGATATAAGACTCGGTTAGTCGCCAAGGGTTACACTCAGACCTATGGTATTGATTATGAAGAAACTTTTGCACCAGTTGCAAAGATAAATACTGTGAGAGCCTTGTTGTCCCTTCCTGCCCATTACAACTGGAATATAAATCAATTTGATATAAAAAATATTTTTCTTAATGGTAAGTTAGAAGAAGTTTACATGGAAATCCTGTCTGGTTTTGACTCTATGGATGGAGAAAATAAAGTTTGGAGGTTAAAAAAGACCTTGTATGGATTGAAACAGGCTCCCCGTGCCTGATTTGGGAGATTTACTAAGGCTATGATAACCTTAGGATACAAACAGAGTCAAGGAGACCACACATTTTTCTTTAAGCACTCTCAAGATGGGAAGCTCACTGTGCTCTTTGTGTATGTTGATGACATTATTATAACAGGTGATGATATCGTGGAGAGACATTCTACAAGCACGACTAGCCTCTGAATTTGAAATTAAAGATCTTAGGAGATTGAGATATTTCCTAAGGATAGAAATAGCTCATCAAAAGGAAGAAATCTTTATTAGTCAGAGGAAATATGTCCTTGATCTTCTTAAAGAAGCAGGAAAACTTGGGTGTAAACCCTTTAGTACTCCTACTGAGCAGAATCACAAGATGGGTTATGTTGATGTTGATGACATTATTATAATAGGTGATGATATTGTGAAGAGACATGTTCTACAATCACAACTAACATCTGATTTGAAATTAAAGACCTTGGGAGATTGAGATATTTTCTAGGGATAGAGATAGCTCATTCAAAGGAAGGAATCTTTATCGGTCAGAGGAAATATGTCCTTGATCTTCTTTAAAAAGCAGGAAAACTTGGGTGTAAACCCTTTAGTACTCCTATTGAGCAGAATCACAATATGGGTTATGAAGAGGAGAGCCCTCCAGTTGATAAAGGACAATATCAACGACTATGGGAGACTGATATATTTAGCTCATACTAGACCAGACCTAGCTTATGCTGTTAGTATTGTGAGTCAGTTCATGCAAAATCCAAAAGAAAAACACATGCAGGCAGTGGAGAGAATTCTTCAATATCTTAAAGCCACTTCTGCTAAAGCACTGTTATTCCGACGTGATGGCAATCTCTCTTTAGAAGTTTATACTGATGCTGATTACGCTAGATTCGTGACTGACCGTCGATCTACCACTGGTTATTGTATGTTTCTTAGTGGTAACTTAGTGACATGGAGGAGTAAGAAACAGGATGTGGATGCTAGGTCCAATGCAAAGGCTGAATTTCGAGCTATGGCTCAAAGCATTTGTGAATTATTGCGGTTGAAAATTATGCTTGATGATCTCAAAATAAGATGTGAAGGACCTATGAAGCTGTTTTGTGATAATAAATCCGCCATTTGTATAACTCATAATCTAGATCAACATGATCGGACTAAACATATTGAGGTCAACCGCCATTTCATCAAGGAGAAACTTGATAGCGGGTTGACCACCACTCCATACATTCCTTGTGGGCGTCAATTAGCTGATATTCTGACAAAGGGATTTCCCTCAGAAAGATTTCAAGAGCTTACTAGCAAGCTGGGAATGATAAATATCTATTCCTCAGCTTAAGGGGGGAGTTTTGTAAATAATTATTATTTATTTATTTTATTTATTTTTCTATTCTATAATCTTTTTTAAGTTTAGCCGAATAGGTCATTCAGTCTGTTTAAATAGAGACCTCTTTGTACTGTTGTATACACAATACAATTAATATAATCCTTCTTTTCAACTCTATCTAAAGTATCTAAAAAATAGAATACACAATCTTCCTACCTACCTTCAACACACAAAGATCACTTTTATCCTCCCAAGATGCTCTTTTGTGATCTTCTTTCTGAAATCATGAGACAAACATTTAAATAAAAATCAATTACTTCCATGTTATCTCATAAAGCAGCACATCATTTGAAGGAATTTGAAAGGCTTACACTATCACTTTTAAGGATCTTGTTTATTATAAATTCTTCAATTTCACTCTCTCTAGTTTCAAATACAGGCATTGCAGTCTGCGCTATGCACCCCAGAGACTGCAATACGGCAGGTAGATGTGTTTTCTCCTCCAGCATATCTACAAGCCTCTGCATACAAGGTCAGAACAATCAGAATAAAAAATTTCAGAATATTAGAATAAATGAATTAACTATATGAAACCTTGTATGGAACAGAGAGAGTTTTGAGGCCATCATCCTTTGTTATTGCAGCTAGAGGCCTAGAGCATGCACAGCATAATATTATAATAAATGAATTGACTATATGCAACCTTGTATAGAACAGAGAGAGACTTGAGGCCGTCATCCTTTGTTATTGCAGCTAGAGCATGCACAGCATACTTGGCCTGTCGCCGACTGCCTTCTAAACATACTCTCTCCAACATAAGGTCTACGGAACTGCATGAAACAAGGAGATAATAAGAATATTATACAAGGAAATGGATCTAAAAGAGTTAAAGAATTTAACAGTGCCACCTTGATGTAACTGCGAGTTGTTCACGTATAGTACCACCAGCCTTTGCTAAAACATTCAAAACACCCTCTTTAATCATATCGTTATTATCCTTAAGTAAATTCACAAGCTCCTCCTCACTGCCACTGAGAAGATATGGACTGAAACGAGCAATTATCTGCATTTTATCATAAGTGAAGTTAACCAAAAAAGTTAGAAAAGTTGATTCTATTTTTTTTAATTTTCATGTCCAAAATGACTGAATACATGTCATTGCTTCATAACAAAATTACACAAGCATATGAAACAACTGAAAAGGGTATTGCAAAATAAAACAAGCATAGTAACTCGTATAACACTGTTTAAGATACTGATAGAGTAACTCATATAAAACTGTATATTGACAAACCATTATTGTGCCTACTAACAACTTAAACATTAGAGACTATCCCAAGGTTCTTTACATGGTATCAGAGCCTCGCCACCCCCCACTTTCTCTTGTAGCGTTTCTTAGCACAGGTAGGCTGGGTCTGTTGCATTGTCCACCACTCTTCAAGCCCAATGGGCTCTCGTGTGAGGGGGCGTGTTGAGATATATAGTCTCACATTGGTTGTATATTGTTCACCCTTCAAGCCCAGTGGGCTCTCGTGTGAGGGGGCGTGTTGAGATATATAGTCCCACATTGGTTTTATGTTATCCCAAGGTTCTTTACATGGTATAGAGCCTCGCCGCCCCCCACAAGAGAAAGTGGGGGGCGGCGAGGCTCTGATACCATGTAAAGAACCTTGGGATACACCACCTCAAAAGCTAGCTCAAAGGGTGGGAGTGTCCAAGGCCTTATAAACTCCACATTAGTTGCACATACAACCAATATGGGACTATATATCTCAACAGAGACGAATAGGCTCCATGACATGGATAGTTGAGATATATAAAACCATTAATGTAGCCTCACCCAATAGCTTAAGCTTTTGAGTTGAATTGGTTCTTTATATGGTATCAGAGCCTCGGTGTACCAGGTTCGATCCTCACCGCTCCCCACTTTCTTTCAAGTGGAATTTCTTTCTTCACACAGGTAGATGGGCCTGTGCATTGTCCACCCTTCAAGCCTAGTAGACTATCGTGTGAGGGAGCGTGTTGAGATATATAAAACCATTAATGTAGCCTCACCCAATAACTTAAGCTTTTGGGTTAAATTAGTTCTTTATAATATCAATGCCTCTTTAACCAAGAGCACAATCCATGCCACCACCATTCTCTCAATTAAATTAAATTCAACACATGGCATTGGTGGGACTCTGCTATCTCCACATTTTAAGATTAAAGGGGTTTCACATAAGGAGCTGTGTTAGAGATAGCAATAAAATCATTCATTGGCCTTCTAGAAGTTCTAGATTACTCCTAACAGCTTACGTTTTTGAGATGAATTGTTACTTGACAAACATTCACCCTAAGACCAAGGATAACAATTAATCAGCAGCAAGCAAAGCCATAAAAGAAGGTTTTGCTATCAATTAGTACAAGCAAAAAAATATAGAAAAGTGTAGGAACTTTATTCTTTTCCACACCTTTTCTCTGCACTTAACATGAAAGTGGAAATTGTTCATGACAGTTACATAATACAAATGTTCAAGAACCATGTGCAATAATTCAATACACCTAAAAATGGCATTTTCTCACCACTAAAATATTCATGCAAGATTGTATGCGCTGATCATTCTCTGCAGATTTAAGTGTGATGATTTCTGAAAGAATGGCTTTTACATGCTCCTTGTTGAAAAGCAAATAGGAGCACTTTACATAGAAGGTATTCATAAATTCATAGAGCCGATGTTTCTCACCAAGTATCTTTAGCAAATCATCCTGCAAACAAAAAGTAAAAAAGTGACCAATATCAGTAAATAACAAAATGTAAACTACAGTTTCTTTTTTTCCTTATTAGAAAATAAACATTCTAGTGAGTTAATCGGAATCATAACTGAGATTGTACTATTTGGATGTTCATATACAGCTCTCCTAATAGACTCCTAAAGTTGAGGAACTCTTTGGAATTACAATGCTAACATCTATAGGCAACAGGAAAGCAGATCCAGAGACACATTTAAACTGTATTAGCAACAAGTTCTTGAGCTTAGTAATATATCCCACAGGAATTGGGTATTAACTTCAAAGATTAATTCCAATGCAATTTGTAACCATGATTTCACAAATCAGTATCTCTAAAACCGTATCTATCTTGTACTAAAAAAAAAAAAACCGTATCTATCAGTTACTCAGTTTCGGATGATATTACCCTGTATACATGAGTTTGATGGAAGCTAGTATTTGGATCAACAAGATTCATCAAAATTTTCCAGATATTAGCATCTTTTAATTGATCAAGAATCTGGAAATTCTCTTCAGCCTTTGTTGGGTCAGCAAATGAACGAGACATTACTCGGAAACAGAACACAATCTTTTTTTGGACCTCAGGAATGTCTTTATCCTGCATGTAAGTAAGATCAATCCCTTCTCATCAAATTTCCTTTGAAAGTTCATCTTTCTAACTTCCAAGGTCACATACCTGAGTAGTCTGCCTCAGAGCCAGATACTTCTGCATCTCTTCCTGTAACCTGCTACCAAAGTGGTGCCATCAAAACTGAAAATTTGAGACACCACGAGTATAAGCCATCACAGAAGTCAACCAAGCATACCTTTGTTTTTGCTCCAGTATCTTTTCAAGAGCCTTGACCTCTACTTTATCAAATCTAGAGAAAATCTCAACCCAATGTTTAACTATATCATTGATTGAAAACTCTGATGGAAATAGGGACCCACATAGAATAGATTCGATTATATCTGAACTGCAGAATGAAGTGAACAAAAGAAATGTCAAGAATTAAAACATCTCTATTCCTAAGAAAACAAAAAATAAAGAAAATAAAAACAAAACATAAAGGGAAACAAAGAAATAAACTCAGAAGAAACTATTATCCTATTGCTAAAACAATGTTCCCCGCTAAATAATTGGATCGTATTTACAAACAATGATCACCAAACAAACTAAGGGAAACAATTTCATTTGTATTTTTTTTTTTTTTTTTTTGTGATCATAGAAACAACTTTTTACACAATAACATTCAATTCATCAACATCAACATCAACAACACCTTTATCCCAAATTAATTGGGGTCGGTGGTAGATGAACCCACATGAAAGATACAAAACGGTTGAAAAAAAGTAACAAAAAAAATAAAAAATAAAAAATAAATAAATAAATAAATTAATAAATAAATAAAAATACACAAATAAAATAATAAAATAAAATAAAATGAAATAAAAATATATGTATATATAAATAAATAAAAGTAAAAAAGAAAGGGACAAGAAGAAGTGGGGGAAATGAAGGGGAAAAGGACTAAAAGAGGACCATCTGGAACATAGGAATAACAGCGGGTCTAACCCTCCACCATACTTATAGCTTTTCTCCATTCCTTTCTAAGACATACTGTCCGCCAATCTATATCCCACTCCATTAAATCTTGTTTTACTACTTTTCCCCAAGTAAGCTTCGGCCTACCTCTGCCTCTTTTTGTGCTTAGCTCTTGGTAACAAACTTCTGTTCTTACAGGAGCATCCATGGGTCTTCTCATCACGTGCCCAAACCACCTCAATCTATGTTCTCTCATCTTCTCGGCTACCGGTACTACTCCGACCTTTCGTCGAATATCTTCATTTCTTATCTTATCCATCCTTGTGTACCCACACATCCACCTTAACATCCTCATCTCTGCTACTCCCATCTTATGCTCATGTTGCCTATGTGCTGGCCAGCATTCCGCTCCCTATAGCATTGTCGGTCGTACTGCCGTTTTATAGAATTTTCCTTTTAACTTCAGGGGAATTTTGCGGTCACACAAAAATGCAGATGCACTACGTCATTTCATCCACCCTGCTCTGATTCTGTGATTTACATCCTCATCAATCTCTCCACCATTTTGTAAAATGGAGCCCAAGTATTTAAAAACATTTTTTTTGGGTACCTCTTGACCATTTAGATGCACAGGTTCTTGGTCCTCATCTTGTACCAGAGAAAACTCACACTTCAGATACTCAGTCTTGCTTCGACTTAATGTGAATCCTCTGGATTCCAATGTGCTTCTCCACAATTCAAGTTTTCTATTAACACCCTCCTTGCTCTCATCAATAAGCACAATATCGTCTGCAAAAAGCATACACCATGGAACTTCCTCTTGAATATCTTTTGTTAGTTCATCCATAACTAAGGCAAATAGGTAAGGACTTAGAGCCGACCCTTGGTGTACACCTACCGTGATAGGAAAATAACTTGATGATCCGTTACAAGCTTTTACACATGTAGTAGCCCCATCATACATATCCTTGATTGCCTTTACATACTTTAATGGAACATTTTTCTTCTCCAAGACCCACTATAAAACTTTCCTTGGAACCCTATCGTATGCTTTCTCAAGGTCTATGAACACCATATGCAAGTCCTTCTTCTTTTCTCGGTATCTTTCCATTAGTTGTCGCATCAAGAAAATGGCTTCCATGGTACATCTTCCTGGCATAAATCCAAATTGATTTACAGAAACCTTGGTATCTCTCCTCAGGCGATGTTCAATAACCCTCTCCCACAGCTTCATAGTATGACTCATTAGCTTAATGCCTCTATAGTTTGAACAATTCTGTATATCTCCCTTGTTTTTGTAGATAGGCACAATCATACTTTTCCTCCATACATCAGGCATCTTATTCGTCTGGAGAATCTTATTAAAAAGATTGGTCAACCATTTTATTGCCACATCCCCCAGGCCTCTCCACACTTCAATAGGGACACCATCAGGCCCCAAGGCTTTATTAGTCTTCATCCTCTTTAAAGCCTCCTTAACTTCATGTGTATTAATTCTGCGTACAAATCTTCTATTCATATCATCATACGCGTCCTCTAAGTCCACCTCGCTTGTATTTCCATCCCCATTAAACAGCTTGTTGAAGTATTTCAACCATCTTTCACTTACATCTTCATCTCTCACCAGAAGTTTTTGATTTTCATCCTTAATGCATCTAACTTGAGTGAGGTCTTTACTTTTCTTATCCCTTATCCTTGCAAGTTTATAAATACCTCATTCACCATCCTTGCTCCCAAGACTTTTATACAACTCGTCGAAAACCTTGCCTCTCGCTTCTCGCACTGCTTTCTTTGCATTTTTTCTCGCCAATCTAAACTTTTGCAGGTTCTCTTCATTGGGACTTTTATGCAAAGATCTAAAGCACTCCTTCTTATGTTTAATTGCCTCTTGCACCTCTCCATTCCTCTCCATTTCAAAAATAAATTTTGAAACGAAGGGGTCAGTCCTTATTTTATTGTCACAAAACAATAAAGGCTTATGCTTCCTTTGTCTTTAAAATTTAAATATTACATGGAAAAGCAAAAACCCACATGCAAAAAGATAATGAGCATGATGCAAATAGTGGCAAAGATGATAACAGAATATCTACTTATGTAGCATCAGCATTTCACCTGAAATCTTTGTCATAGAAACATTTAAGGATCTTCCCTGGAATCCAGTCAAACTCACTGGAATTGACTGTGTCGGAGCTATTCTCACAAAAAACTCTATATATCTCAGCCAATCTCTCCATGGTATACTTTTTAACAGGTAGCTGGAAAACATAATAAGGATTTGAGATAAAGTGAGTTGAGATTGTCAGAGTTAAAAAAGAATTTAAGAAAATCGATAATTTATATTTTAGAGGTATACGTACAGATTTGTCACGAAGCCGTTCTGCAACAAGTTTCAAAGATTCAAGAGGAACTGCATTTACGGCATGACATGCCACATCACAGATTACAGCCACAACTTGCTTTCGAACATTTTCATCAAAATCCAGCAACTGGTCACAAAGGGCAGCTAAAAAGTTGTACCCAAATAAATTTAGCAGATATAGTAAAAATATAAGATGGGACTGAATATCATGTACACGAATTTAATGCACTCACAGAATATTTGAGGAGCTTCAGCCCTAAAAGGATTTGACAGCAGAGAGCTCTTTACATGCTCAAGGACAGACATACGAACCCCAAAATCTATATCAGTCAACCTATTTAAAAACTCTGAAAATATAGGCTGAAATTCTTCAGCAATGGAAGTTCCAGGAAGAGCAATTATATCGCCAACCAAGTTCACTGCTTTCAAACGGGTTTCCAGCTGGTCAGTCTGCAAATTTCCAAATTACAAATGAGAATCCAGGCATCAAATTTGAACGACGGTCAAGATTATAATTATGCTAAACTCGTAAACTAAATTATATGAAAAATAAAAAATGCTAAAGTGGCTCTTTGTAATTGTGATATCAGATCTTCATAAATTCTAAAGCTCAGGAATTCTCACATACAATTTATACAACGAAACATCTTTATAATAGCAACGACTTCAATTTAATGGAAACAAATGAATACTTAGAAACCACATGGAGCATCAGGATAACCAGTAAATCACTAATTACCAGTAGCTCTCCTGTGACATAAGGGAGAACTCCAGTTAGGATCTGAGGAGCACAGCAATAGAGATCATAGATAACTCCATGGTATTGAACTTTACTGTTAACGGGCTTGCTGTCCCCTGATATTAATGATAGCAAAAATTGTTTAATGGTGGGTTCAAGCTTTCCTACACATTGCTGTATGACATTCATGGAAAGCTTCCTCGCGGCCCCAGTAACATCCTGGAATTAATAATTCCACACAATCATGTTTCTTATGTAATATTAGACATAACACAAAAACAAGTATAGCCTCCAAGAGCATCAGCTATCTGCCTATAACAGGAAAAAAATATAAGAAAAAGTACTTACTCTTTTTTCACAACCTAATGAAGACAGTAAAATAGATAAAAGATCCTCACGGACATCTTCACTCTCTTCTAAGAGAACGACCATTATAGTTTTCATGGATGACAGAACACTTTCGGGATGATCATCTCTGAGCATGAAACAAAGTATACAAGCACCACTTATTAACCCAAAGAGGATCTTCAATCAAGAAAAGGAGTATAGAAAATTTGACAATCAAGAAATACTACTGATGATGAATGCTTCAAAACTAGTATGACAAAGTACTACTCAATACATAATGATTGATAAATCAAAATTAGAAAATACAAAGAACTGGCAAAATAATTAGGAAATAGTTTAAAAACAGTCAATGAATCAAGAAGAAATCAACCTAAGTGTACACAATATACCTAGCATAGTTGCAGGTACAATAATATGCCAAGCATCACACATACAATATCCCAAATGTAATAAAAAAAGAAAACAAAAGGACAAGATAGGCAGGACAGGAACCAATAGAATGAGAGATAATAGTGTCACAGTTACACTATTACAGAACTTGCCTCTCCATTTCAAAACATCACATTCCAATTTATGTTTGACTAATTATCTTTAATTCATTCTCATACTTTATGACCAGCAAAAAGAACATGGGCTCCAGAACCAAGTATAGACCAACAAAACATCAAGTTTGCAATCTTGGAAGCATATAGCAGAAGCGTTCAGAACAATACTACTATTTAACAAGAGCACACACCTACAACTAACTAAGCAAAAGATTTTATGATAAACTAACCTGGCCACTGCAAAGAAAGTACTGAACATTTCATTCACCAGATCATCACATTCAAGATCCAACATTACAACACATGATCTGTATTTTGCAAGAGTCTCCAATATAGCAACTCTCCGGCCAAAGGACGGACCACTTGTATCACTCAGGCCACTAAAAGTGCCCACAATCAACTGAAAGATGTCCTGTAAAGTGATCTAACAAAGATTAGGATGAAGGACACTATGTTCCCAACTAAATTTCTCTTTATGTTTGGTTGAAAGTAAAAGGACAATGTTTATACTTTTTAAGTTATAAATAATAAGACAACCTAATTGATATAATCAGATAACTAGAGTAAACAAAAAGCACCTTTAGAACATCATCACTATAAGGAGCCTCAGGTGCAGTGATCCGAGTTATCTCACAAAGACATGTTGCAACTAGAACATTGACATCACTATCTTGGTGCTTCAGCAATTCTGGTTTAACAATTGAATTAAAAAAGGGCTTCATTGACTCTAACGTAGAATCTGATGGTGATTGATCCATGTCAGTCAGGCATACTGCTGCTTCCTGCAGGTGGGGAAACATTTTGTTGAGAGGGGGGATTAGCAGTTGCCATTAAAAAAAACAACTTGCACTTAAGATGAAAAAAATTATGCTATACAACAGTAACATAAGTTAACAAAAAAAAAAAAAAAAACTTCTTAATATTAGATAACGACATAACGTTATAGCATGAATTTGACCTCAAGCATTATATGCTTATAGACTGGTTTTAATTGTTAAGTTTAAGAGTTACTGTTAGTGTTAGGTTATTGAGAGTATATGAGCATGGCCCACATGTACTTTGTACTGCATTGAACTACACTCTTAACCTAGTAGTATAAATACATAGGGAGACTGTGCTACACAGCTTATCCCATTGCAGCATAAATCAATCCTACTCCCTTTACTTTCTCTACATGGTATCAAAGCCTACTAGGGCAGCCAATCATCTAGGCTGGCTGTTTTCCCAAAAACAAAAATAATAAAATTAAAACTCACTGATATTAAACTCAACTGGTATGGTGAGAACTTTGTTGGCGGAAATATTTAGTTGAAATTAGTCTGGGTGGTATGGGCAATGATGGAGACTTGACAGAGGCCTGCCACGAAGGAACCGAAGGCAGCCACATTATGGAATACGGAGGATAAATGCATTCTGACCTTACTTGTGAATTCTGTTGATAATAGAACACAGTCAGTCATCACCCACTGCAAGACGGTGAAGGACTCACAAGATTTTCTGAAATTCTGTTAGGAAACCACCCATTATTGGGATGTATTCTAAGAAGGGGCATAAAGGATTAGAATCCTAGGCTGGGCAATAAAGTATGAACCTTTTTTTTTTTTGGGTGTTTGGGGGGGGGGGGGGGGGGGAGTGCTAAGCCTAAAACCGTAATCTTACGGAAATTGCCCGAGCTTTAATGTTTCAATTTCAAATGAATGTTCCCAAGATTTTCTGGGCAGATGCAATTCATACTGCTACATATTTGATTAATTGAACACCATCATCTGTGTTAAATGGTGATATTCCTTACTCTGTCCTATTTCCTTCCCAATCTTTGTTTCCTTTACCCCCAAAAATATTTGGATTATTGGATACATGTGGTCTGTTCATGAAGTGTGTGTTCTGGGGTTAATCCAATACCCAAAAGGTGCCACTTTTTTTTTCCAACCTTGGTTACTATCTTGTTTCTACTGATGTTTCCTTTTTTGAAGATCGTTCCTTTATTGGCTGATTCATCATATTCTTTGCCTGCATGACTCAGATGATACTTTCCTTACTTATACAGTCATGTACTCAGTTCCACAGACCCCTCCTGATACTGGTTTCAGGTTCATTGAGAGGACGTCCGGCCGTCATTCCCAGACTAACGCTTCTCCTCCAATTGACACTCCTACATTGGATAATCCTCCTTCGCCTCCTCAAGTGCTTTCAAATCCCACTACTAATCTTCCAGTAACCTTACATAAAGGTAAACATACTTGCACTTGTCCTATTTCTTCTTATGCCTCTTCCACTAGTTTAACTCTTACATCTCGTTCCTTTGTTGCGGCCAAAGATTTTGTCTCTGTCTCTAAATCACTTTCAAATGCCTTAACCCATGATCGTTGGATGCAAGCTAGAAAGGAAGAAATGCTGGCTCTTGAGCAAAATGAGACTTGGGATTTGGTGTTTTTACCCATGGGGAAGAAAACTATTGGATGTAAGTGGATTTACAGTTACACTAACAAGGTGAATCCCAATATTCCCTTGCTTGATTGAAAGCTCAGATAGTTGCTGAAGAAATTATAGGGATTTATGTATAGAATGAGGAAAACAAATACTTAGAATAAAAGCATATTGATATTGTCATCAAATATGGTATGTGATACAAAAGACAAAGTCTGATCCCTATTTACACTCGGACTGCTAAAATAAGAAAATTGTTATGAACCAACTCTCCCAAAAATATAAGATGTTAAGTGAAACACATGAATTATTTTTATAATATAATATTATAATTCTAACAAACCCTATCACGCAAGAGCCCTTTGGGCTTGAAGCATGGACAATGCACAGGGCCACCTACCTTATGCTGAAATTCAAAATTTTATTAGATGAAGGGGATGGCAAAAATCGAACTCTAGACCACTTAGTCAAAGAGGCTTCAATACCATGTCTTAGGTAGAGACACGTGAATGGTTTTTATATTATATTTCTCAACAGATCAAATCATGAAATGTTAGGAAGTACGGAAACTAATTCTAAGAGATCCTCTAGGATACTCTAAACTATTTTAAGATATAATCTTAATATTATATGATGTCTTCTAGATATTTCAACACTCCCCCCTCCCTAAGCTAATGCTTAAATGAAATCTTCCAGATATTCTGGCAATTGCCAAGGGATACACATAAACATATGGGGATACCTACACCAAACACAAAACACCTTCACGAACATTCACAAATTAACCTAACTCAAAAGATGCTCGACAAACTAGCTTCAAATTAAACAGAGTCTGGCATCAAAAACAGTAAATCTGCCAATTGTCTTTCTCAATTGCAAAAGGCCCGACTAACACAACTCAAATCCTCAATTATAAGCCACTCAAACAAAGAACCACAAAACTTTAGCTCAATTCAATTTTTCCAAGAGACATAACCCAGAAAAATTGTCTTAGTGTTCTTCACCTTAGCTCCCCCAACACCTCAAAACAGAAAGTAACGGATATAACTAACCCCAAAATAAAAATTTCAAATCTTCCATAAAAACTCAGGATTTTCGAACCTGGCCATCAAACACTTAATTGGAAAACGAAGCAACGAGAAATTCAAAAAAAAAAAAAAAAAAAAAAAAAAAAGCTAGCAAACCTCCAAGAGCTTGATGAGAGCGTCATTGGAGGAAGGAAGGGTGTCGAGCTTGGATCCCAGCTCCTTGAGCTGAAGATGAGGCTTCTGAGCCATATTACTGACTCCAGAAAACAAAAAACGGTGTCGTTTCAGTGATGCGCGTTGTGTTTCATGGAGTATACACGAGGCTGGAGCAGAAGAAGAAGAAAGTGAAGAAACGAAGCAGAGAAGGGTTTTCGGGTTTTCGTTTCTCTCTCTCTATCTCTCTTTCTTTCTCTCTCTATCTTGTTGGTTTGGTTGGGATATAGCGAAGTGGAAGTGTTGTGTTGTGGGGCTTTAGATTTTCGAACAGAGAAGCTAAATGTACTCCAAATGCAAATCCAAATCTATGCCATTCACGCGCTGACTTTTTTCTTTTTGCTAACGTAACTAACACACTTTTGTTTTGCATTCATGCCCTCCGCTTTTCCCAATACCTTCTAAACTCCCCGTTTGAATTTTGCGTTTTATTGCATTTGCACCCATCGTATTTAACAAACTTAACTTTTTTAAATGAAACTGGATGACTACTCGTTATGTAAGACTCAGTTTATAGTTAAAACTGTTTTAACTGTTGCCAACTACCATTCCTTTTTTTGCAGACATAAGTAATGTAATAAATTTTCTTTTTATATATTGAGATTTAGTAAAGTAATTCAAACCATTGCTTTAGATCGCAAATATAAATAATTTGTCAAACATATATATATATATAGGGATATACATTTCTGCAAGTGTTATACGTTCAGCAATCAAATACTTGTCAGATATATATACATGAAAGCACTAAATACTGGGAATCATAACCATACAAAAGATGAAAGCATTAAATGTGGGGAATCATACGTTGCTATACGTAAAGCGACTGCAAAAATAATTTTATCATATATATATATATATATATATATATATATATATATATATATATATAGGCTTATTATTTTTCAAACTGTTTGAGATAATTTTATCTCCGACTACTAAATCATAACCGTACAAAGATGGATCAATGGTGATAAAGAAAAAAAGAGAAAAGGAGAATCATAACCATTCAAAGGTGAATCAATTAATATAAGGAAATAAATAAACAAAACGACGTAGTTTTGAGATGGCCTTAGATAAACTTATTTCAAGTTGACGTAGAAATATTTCTCTCTCTATATATATATATATATATATATATATATATATATTCTAAATTTCTTATTTAAGTATATATTAAATATTTAATTTTCACTTTTCACAATACATCCTTGTTTATTTTATTTAACATTGAAAAATAAATTCACTAAAACATAATAATGTGAATGAATATTTGCATAATCTTAACTATTCCTTAAATTATAATATTAATTATTTATAAACTTGATTTCATAAAATTGTACATATAAGATATAACAATCCAAAATCAACGAACACTGAAGACTATTTTAAAGTGATTTTTTCTTTAAAGTAAGTAAATAAAATATATTTATTTTTTATTTAATTTAAAGTTCATCGTGATTTTATCATATTAAATTTTAAAGTTAGTTAAATCATTACTTACTCATTTTAGGAATAATATCATTTTGGAAGAGTTGTTAATAATTCTGGCAAGTATTGAAGTTCTTTCAAAACTAAAATTTGATAGAATCTAACTTAATTTCAACTATATAGAAAAAAAATTACTAGTTATGTTATCAGTTAAAATTAAATGTATTGATTATATTGTCAACTAAGAAAATGTCGTCATTATGAAAGTCTGATTAAGAAGATTACAACTTCAGAAAAATATAGAAAAAGTCTAATTAAAACCTCGTTATAAATTTCAATTGAAAAAAGGGACCTCGTATTTTGATATTTCTCTTTAAGTCTCGATACCAATTAAATCGCATTTGCATTATATAAACCGTTAATTGATGAAAACCCTTTATATTATATAAACCCCAAACTGACTTACCACTTAAATTATATATTATAATATATTTATCATAATTAGTAAGTCCAAGGAGACTAATTGCTCTGACAATTATTTGTCGAACCTCTTGCTAGCTTGAATTTGGATAATGATTTTGTCTTATTGAACCTTCTCCGAATTACTCTTACTTTTATTTGCGAACTCCTCAATCACTTTTCGAATTAGGGTGTCCTTGATTTTTTTTCTTTTTGTTTTCTACTTTTTAACTGTTTTTGTATCTAGCAAAAAAAATTGATCTAACAAAATCTCTTCCCAATGAGAAAGGTTATAGTTTAAAACAGTTCAAAATTAAAATGGTGTGCTCATTATTTCTCTATAACCTTGATTTTGACACCACTATAAGAAGAATAAAACTCCCTACACTAAATTTTACGTATCTCTTTTCAATATGTAGATTTATACAATTTCTACTTAAAAATAAAATTATTTTAAGTAAGCACAAAACGATATCATTTGAGGGTTGAAAGATTAAAAATTATAATAATAAAGATTAATATAATCCTGAAATAAATTAGAATTACAAAAATATATTTTTCTTAATCTCAAAACAACGTCATTTTGGACTCACTGAAAACTAAATTATCTCTATTGACTGGAGATATATTAAACCTATTAATAAAATAAAGATAGTAATAGACTCGCATAATTTGTGTAATGTATAGTTATCAGTTTTGTACGATAAATGATATGATACGATATAATTCACAAGCTCAGCAATATGTATCATGAGGTGTATCAGAAGGATTCGTATGGGACGATACTATACTATGTCATACGATACGATGTGTAACGTGTATGATAGGATACGAAAATTAAATCAAACTTTGAAATTTTCAATATTAAAAAGAAATAAAATTTTGACTCATGATTTAAATTTAAAAAAAAAATCTAAAAAATAATTATTAATGAGGAAAAGAAAATAAATATTTGATTTGTGATTTAAACTCAAAAATCTTATCTACCAAAAAAAAACTCAAATCAATCTAAAAATTTTGAATTAATAAAAAAATAATTTAATAAATAATTTAATATATATTATAAAATTATTTTTATTATATTTTTTAATCTTAAGATTCAAAATACACGATATAAAAAGCCGGCTAAACAATATACAATATATATTGGGATTCAACAACCTTGTTCTGATGCATAATGAAATCTCTAAAAGTTTATACATATAGGCAAACTATTTGAATTAAATTTAACGGGAAGTGTAAATCATTAAAGTAATAGGATATAAAGAAGTATTAAAAATTGTACTAAAAAAAAGTATTAATAATATATTTTCGTTGTGTATCTAAATCTTTATCGTCATAACAAACTAGTTGTTTAGTCTACCTTAATAAAAATAATGATGGTGATTAAGGACGAGGAGATTGGATTTCAAATTTTCAACAACCGGTGGCGAGGACGATGACATGTGGCTAAATTCTAATATATAACGACGTGGCCGATAACAATGATGTGGTAATGGCTATTGGCTAGTGATGACCTAACATTGGAGGATCGAACGTCCCACACATTATAAAATATCTCCATGTCAAAATGTGTAAAATTAGTTTAAATCGAAAGTGTGTATGTTCGGTCCTGGAAAGACCGTATTGCTATACTGTAATCAGAGATACTGTATAATCAGATGTATACTAAGCTTATAGCCAATGTCTCAATCACTGCGCATAAGCAATAGGCTTATAGCCAAGACGTGGGTGTGTGCACAGTGTTGGCAGTAATAGTATATAGGTTCAAAGTGTGCACCTGGGGTCTTTAGGCTCTTATTTATAAGGATTACCTTCCTAGGCTTGGGCCCTTTAGATCTCCCAGTTGCATCAGGGTTCAACTCCCTTTCTGTTGGGATAAGGTCTTTATCTTGAATATTTGACTGTTGGGCATTGTTAGGATAATTATATATTTATCCTTTAGTAGATTCTAAGGTGAGTAGTTAGGATATGATAGATATCCATAACAGTTGCCCCCCAGCTCGGTACTCCGAAGATCGGAATGCCAAGGTGTTAATACGTTATCTCGGACTTGTTGTTGCCGAGATGTTTCCTACTCGGGTCGACACCTGGGACGTAGTTTTGGTATCTGCCATGTCGGTGATGTTGCATGCCCTTTGTAAACAGTTTTGAAATTTCTGAAGCTGTCAAAGTTTCCTTTATGCTATCAAGCCGTGACGTATACCTCGGCCATCGCTTCGTGGACAGGATTATGCCTGACCCTTGTCATTCGAGCGTGACCCTTGCTTAGCCTTTACGGTTATGAGCACCACGTGTCTCCTGGTTGTTGGGGGTTCATGCGTAGTGGGCAGTGAGTCGTCCTGCCTTTGCGTGCGTGATGATTGCACGCATTTAATTCGTGTAGGGTGAGGTTACCGTTTTGCCCTCGGTTACTTAACCGTTTGCAAACCTTTCATCTTCGCGCCTAGCATAGCCCCTAAACCAAGTAGGGTGAAGGCCTTTAAATTCTTCTTCTCGTGTTCATTTGCAACTCTTACTTCACTTTGCATTTCTCCTTTCTGTGTATTTCCCCTCCATCTTCAGGCGTGCTTCTTGGGGTTTTCGAGTCTCCCATTGTTGTTGAGGAGTTCTAAGTTTGTTCGCCCTTTTCTCCACCTCTTTCCAACCAGGTACTTCTTCTTCCTTCAAACTTTTCGTTTCAAGCATTTGTTTATTTCTTGCTGGGGAGGGGTATTTCTTTAGTTCTCCTTTCTGGAGTGGACGATGAGTATTCCCAGTTCTTCTGGTGCGGCTGTTGGCTGAAGTGATGGAAGGGAGATCGATGAGGAAATGATAAAGGAGTTACCTCGAGCCGTTCAGTATTGGTTTTATGGCAAGGAGTATACTGAGGAGGAGAAGCTTCAACAGCTTCTTCGCGGTCCTCGAGGAGGTCGCCGGAGTTCCCGAGGTGGACGTGGTAGGGGAGGGAGAGGTCGGAAGGAGGGGGTCGTCAAACTCAACTTAACTTTGGCGTGGGCGATCCTCCTTTGGTTTCGAACCCTTCAACTCCTGGGTTGAATTCCTCTCCTGATCAGGTTCCTTTATCCTATATTTTGTCATCATCTCAGGTGGTCCCGGGTCTGAGGTCCGTTTTAGATCGGATCCCTCCTCTTGGGTTGAGCGATAGTTCTTCCAACCTTTCTTCATCCGAGCTGGGTTTTCCGGAATCGGCTACCCCTTCTTATTTTGGTGATTCGGCTTCAAGTCAGATGTCGTTTGTTGACCTTGTCAGTAGTTCTGACAGCTTCATTCCTTTTTCTTGGAGTCCATGTTCGTTGTCGTCTGATCTCGGAAGTCCGAGGTCGGATTTGGCT